GTAAAAGGTTTCAGTTTGGTGTTTTAACATCTTAACACCTATTTTGTTGCCAGAAAAAAGGGGAAAACCTATTCTCATATTTTGGTACTGGCAAAGGAGGTCCCATGATGTAGCTGCTAACCCCGAGCTCTCATTACTCTGATAGTGGCATTGTCTTTGTGCTGTACGCCTTTTAGCGTCCTCTGGTCGAACACCGTTTGAGACGAGGCTCAAAAGAAAGCCGTCTCTGGTGTGGACCAATCCGTTTCAAAGACAATGCAAATATTATCAGAGCACGTTTTTTGTTTGCATTCTGAAAAAAAACAAAGTATTGCGGTTAATGCAGACACGATTCCTTGTAAAAGGTTTCAGTTTGGTGTTTTAACATCTTAACACACCTGTTTTGTTGCCAGAAAAAAGGAGAAATCCCTATTCTCGTGTGACATCGTGTTATCGCGCCTGATGGAAGAAGCTGCCTCGCATTTGACTGGTTGATGTTTTGCTGCCCTCTTCTGGCTAGAGTCGCCTCTGTGCAGCTCTGAACCTGCAGCGCAACCACGAACTCACGCGAGCTGCCTCTTTTGCTCGAGAGCTCCAGAGGATTGAGTGACAAGCTTATGCCGAGCCCGATGATGATGATGATGACAGCTGGTTGCTGAAAGAGTGGATGATTGCGTGAGATTGAGGGCAGCGTTTACGCCACAGGAGGTTGATTTGTGCAAATTAGGATCCGAGTTGAAGGACTGTCGTCTTATTTTTGACGAAGACGAGGGGGGGGGGGTATCCATTGAAAATGACGAACGGTTTTACGATGAAGTTATCACCGAAGGAGATATTGAGACTCAAAGTGTGTCACGGACACAATGTATTCGCGAACGCTGATCATACCAAAGTTGGAACATAATTCATAATAACCCAATTATCGTTCAAAAGCATCAAACACCTCTAGCGTTTTCTCTTCATTTGTAAACGCATTACAAGTTTGGCTGCAGGTGACCAGGAGGTTGCAGTAGAGTATAGCAAGGATGGAATCTATCTTTGCAGAGGATAAGTGTTACCCAATTTGCGTAGATTTTCTTCAGGTATTCTGCGTTCCTCACACATGCTAACTAATTCATGTAATTGACCAAACATCCCGATGCTGGGCCCCCCTAAAAAAGGGTATTGGGACTCAGTGGAACATTTCATGGGTGAATAAGTGACAAGATAAATTACCATGTCAAGTTTTTTACGCAACCATCTCCAGGATGACAAAATGGACTTTAACATTTCCAGACTCGCAACCTCTCCTCCAAATTTAGACTGATGGCCTTAATCTAAGTTGTCTTGTGGTTGTTGTTGTTGTTGTTTGACTTGCATCCCACTGGGATTTTTGCACACAGCGTTGGTGTACGGTTTTTTTTCTGCAATATTTTGCTGTCTTTTCTTGGATTTTCTGTTTGCACTTAGTCACATATTCACTTTAAGATGTTTTTTGTTCTTGTTTTTGTTTTTTGTTTGTTGCGGTTGCACCCGATTCAAGAGCCAAATGGCTCACAGGGCTATACCTAATAAATGAACTTGAACTTGAAATTCACGAAACCCCGAGATCTAACAACGAATCTCCCTCCCAAACGAGCGACACTTCATTTCCCTTAGGCCTCCCAACCCCCGTCCCCACAATCATTATCATCATCATCGTGTACATCGTCACTCTCGCCCAGCAGCCTCTGCAGGCTGCAGCCTCCTCCCCCCCCAACCTTCCCACTGATCTGCCAGGGTCGTGACCTCTTCCTCTATTAATGTTGAGGATGGCTAATACGCGAGACGGGCGAATGAGGGAGCATATGATTGGGTGATCTATGCGTTAAAGTGCCACGCACCTATTTTTTCAGTAGCCAGTGAGGCATGTCAGGGGAGTTGCCATACCCAGGAAGACTAAAATTACTGCATTTACACACTTCCAAATACGTAAGATTTACCACCAGCATCAGTGTGCGGGATCGACCCAGAATATGAATCTTATGTCCAATGCACGACGCTCCAGAGCTCTGCATTCCTCCCAGGAGTTCTACGTTGGGATACATAGCGGTGCACCTCATGTGTTATCTATTATCTACTCGACTCGCTGGCCCAGCCCGTCCATCACACGCCTGGTCCACACGTGGCTGGGATCTGCGTTAGAGATGGGGTCCGGAGGCATTCATCATGCCCGGAGTTCACTTTGGAGCTCGAGTAGTGAAACTCTTGCGTAGTGGACATTGAGGTGTGGTCACACACAGCTTGTGAATACACGTGCACAGACGCAGCTCTGTGTGAAGCCACGGCTGGATGAGAGCTGTGCGGATTGTGGGGGTTATTTCACTACGCTTCATCATGCTGCTCAGCGTGGATTATCGAAGGTCTGTCGATTCAGGGCATATGCATTGAATGCGTGTTGTCCAGTGCTTTGGAGGCAAGAGTGTATTAATTTTCGATTTAAAGCTTTCGTGACTGCAGGGATTCATCATCTTGGTTCTTTCGGTAAATAAAACATAATAAAATAATATAATATTTTATTATGTTTTATTTTTATTATTTTATTACTTCCCTTCTACGTGACTTTACCGAAAGAACCAAGAAGAGTGTATTAATTATTCAGATTTGTGAAACCCTCCAAACCCACTCTGCTGCTATGTAACTGTCAAATGCCAGCAAAGCAAGTTGGATCATGAACCCATCTGTGATGACCAGAGCGTTATACTCGATTCCCGCTCACGACAAACACCAGTGACGATTATCTGACTGGTCCTGGGCCTCCCCTAGATGGACTCAGCCTCAAATGAATACCTGGTGTGGTGTGTAAGATCGCCACTGGGGAGACAAAGGCGGTCAAGGGTGGTGCTGACTACCCGTCCCCTCGTGTGCCGTGCCGGCCTTCATTGGTGCTCGCTAACAGCACTTGCCCCAACAGTCGGTTAAGGCTATGCGGGGATCTTTGTCTTTGTTACCATCTTTAATCAGTGGGTTTTCTCCAAGTACTCTGATTTCCTCTTACATGCAATCAATTACTTAAATGGGAAATTATCCAACACCCACTGCAGGATACTCGTGAAAAGATAGTATTGAGACCTGGACTTTGTTGAATAACAAAACTATCACACAGGCACTTAGGTCCTAATATCGTAAAAAAATGCATAAACCCTAAAACCATGCAGGTGCATTCGTCTTTTCAGGCCCGTTGGATTTATGGAACCCTAAGGGATCAGAGAGCTGCCTTTGGCTTTTGGCATTTTGAGCGGTAACACCGCACCCACCGTATTAACCACATACGTGGTTCTGAGCCTCAAGCATTAATACAAAATTCCATGGACTATACAGGTGCATTAGTCTGGCTCTCCGAGCCACAAAGACTGGCATTCAGCCCTATATATCACACGGATGCGTGAAGCTGCTACACGGTGCAACTCTCCTGCACGTCCATGTTTTGCGACCTTTAAATGAACGCGCAACGCCCCATGTCAGATCCTGTCACTTCAACGGGTTTTTCATTCAGCACAGTTGCACATTACTAAGTGATTAAAATCAATCATGAACCAATTTCGTTGACGATTAATATATTACAGTACAATTTTTCCCACGGCCTGACCCCCCCCCCACCCCACATATCCTCTCCTTGTCTGAACGCCCAGCCCAGGTGTGATCATTGCCTTCGCGTTCCCATGCAGGTGAGCGACGAGGTCAGAAAACTCTCAAGTGATACTGAACAGATTTATGACTTGCAGACCGACACGTAACTCTTATTTCCTCGGTGCTGTACAACTGCTGCTAAATGGAGCAACACGGACAGAAAAGGGTGAAAAAAAATTAACCCGTAAAAACAAAGTTTTTCACTATAAATCCTTTATATGCGTGGCGGCTAGAGTCCTCTCGTCCTCTGGCTTGAGATGGCTGCCACCTATGGGTCAGATGATTGCCTGCCACCATTAAGCAATTAGTAATGAAATAAATAAATCTATTCCTAAAAAGTGTCAAATTTTGGAGAGAAAAAATTCACGAAAATAAATTGTCACGCACAACGAGTCTGTGTGCAAAATGTCAGCTCGATTGGATCACGGGAAGTGGGTTAAAAAAACGACCTAAAGATTTGCACGGTCGTAAGCGCGCAAGCAAGCAAGCAAGTGAACTTAATATAAAGGATTTAAAAACCCGACTATGCGTGAACGTCATTGCACAAAAGTTGCACATTTAACATCAGCCTAAGTCGCCCGTGGAATTCGCAGTGAAACATCGCAACCGAGCCACGAATGTGTGGTGGATAGGGCACGTATAGACTTCACGTCGTCTATGGCCAATGCCGAAGGTTCTACCCTGGATTACCCAGTCACACAAAAATCACGCTGCGTACTTTAGGCATGAGCGCCAGGCACAATGCGTGTGCTCGTCCCAGTACACATGCCGTTCGCGTGCTGTTAGAACTAGATTTGAAGTTTTCGTGACTGCAGGGATCCATACTCTTTGGTTCTTTCGGTAAAGTCACGTGGGTATAAAACATAAAATAAGAATTGAATCACGACGTTTCGATCGCAACACAAGTGACCGTCATCAGTTGGAACCGATACAGCAGGACAACTGCTGATTTATGTGACTTTACCGAAAGAACCGAAGAGTATGTTGTTAGAACTGTTGGGCCAACGTTGGCCCAATGGTCCATGTTTACTGGGACGTTGCTGTGTCATCGCTGCCATAGTCCAGCACTAGCCCCGCACTTCGGATTAGTACGGTTGACTATGTATGGTGCGAAAGAAGTTCAGCATACATATATACATAGCACCTACCCAGACTAGGCACTCGTTTGTGGTACGGTGGAAGGAGTTCCCATAGTCCATTGTGTTAAAGGTAGCGTTGCCAGCATAGCATATTTTACAATACAATTATATTTAAATTTTCACAATAGATTATTGCAATATCGGTTTCTCATAACTGTGTAATTGCATTTTACAGTTTTACCTCCAGTACAAATAACGGCTAAGTTCTTCAAATGCAGTGCACTCGACAGAAGCCACCATGAATATTTTAATGATTGCAACTTTACAACCTATAATGCTGATAATGCACATGTTGTCAGTAATTCGAGGCATTGTGAAATCATTAAACGAGCTCCATGAATGTGGTCATATAGCCACCAGAACATCAATTACTCTGGAAAACACATTACAAACCACTCATCGGTAACAGCTATTTACTGAGGATGTTAATGTGTTCTCGTTATTTCGTAATCTTTAGTCGGGAAATAAAATCGGAATATATTGTGTTCAGAAGCCACGGCAGTCATGATAGAGAAACATTTGTGCAATGTGGACGATTGCGTCGTAGCAGTATCGCCACGTCCCCAGCAAGCGTGCGAGGTTGCGTCAACGTTGGCTTGCGGATTGAAGCTTTGAACCAACGTTCCGTGTTTACTGGGTCGCAGCAACCCCAATCACGAGCGATTGACGGATAGCGGTAACCTGGGTCAAGTGTCTCCCTGCCCACTCGATCTACAAACCACTACTCGCCTGGGTTTGGGTTCTGAAACTATTTTTTTTACTTTACCAGGGAAGGCCCACTGAGATATCTATAGAGCTCATTTTCAGAAGCGGCCTGGCCACAAATGACAGCTCAAACAAAGTGGCTTATCACGTGGACATTTATAGCAGCCAAATACCTGGAGAAGAATCCACGCGACCACGGAGAGAACATGCAAACTCCAAATATCCAGACGTCAGGGTCAGGATCGAAACCACGACCTTCTCGTAGCAGTATCCCAGTTTTAGCTCTTCTGTTTCGATTTGTCAAGACCCGAAATCATTTCTCGTGAGTGCACATGCATTGGGCAGCGCTATAGTGTTCAAGGCACGTCAGCAGCAATAGGCGCATTCGTTTAACGTGGCACACGATTAACATTTAAAAACCTTCCAATGGACCAATGTGTGTGGGTGTAAGTGGACTTGATCTCTGTTTCTACAGCGCAACCCCTGCACGGGTTACACGGGCTCAATTCCACGTGATCCTCGGGTTTTAAACAAGATTTATTCATAAAAAGGTCATATCTACAGCACCGTTCAGGTCATAATGAAAGCAGCGGATGGCCGACTGCTGCAAATCACTGATCGCGTGACTGCACAGAGGCAGCAAAAAATTGCTGAAAATGCTTTCCCTTATTTCCCCTTCTCAATTTAACATCATTTGGCCATTGTCACAGCAACAAATAAAAATGCATGCACATGTAAAAGAAACGTAATTGCATTACAATAATTACTTTTTAAAAATGCATGACGCTATTGCTCTCCGCTGCCAAGAAACCGATTTGCATGAGCACGCTGCAGCCAGCTGCTCTGCAAAAAAAAAGCGGACATGCCAACGCTGACGGTTCCATTTGTAACCTCATCAGACGGTACATGTGCGAAAAGATGAAGGGGGGTGCATTCCGGAGATGTCATGGCCGTAATCACCAATCGGCGAAATTAACATGCAACCAACATTCAACATGTGGAGAAATAAAAAAAAATGTTTTAACTTGAAATGGTAAAGTGTTCACGGCAGGCTTTTTTTCTAGCCGACCTCAGCCTCAGGCAAGCATGTCGCTCACTCGATGGAAGAACACATGTATAATGTATAAACTCTGTTCTGAACCAAGCACCGTGCACCACATTCTGCCAGTCCTGACAACGAAACTCTATTGACTTTCATGACGGAGACTTCTGAACGCACATCTTTCCAGCTGACTATGATGTGTTTTCATGCCCGTCTGCTCTGGCCAGCCTTGTGGAATGAACCGTAATCTCATTTCCATATCACAAGCCGCAAAATGACTTCAAAAGAGGCGTGCATTCTAAAAAAAAAACCGAGGTCTTATCATAGACCAAGCCTAAAATACGAAGCACAGCGCGGAGTATGAACGAAAAAATGCATCAATTTGGTAACCTAGAAGCAGTCTTAAATCTTAAAACGTGTTCACCGATCTACATCTTTGTAACTAAAGAATGTACGCTGATTTACTCTGGCACCCAAAGTCCAACCATCCGTCAATTAGATTTTCGAGAGCAACACCCAACTGAGAGTTTCATTTTTTTAATATCCAAGCTGCATAGACCTAAATTTTGACTTAAAACTTTCATGACTGCAGGAATTAATATTCTTGGTTCTTTCGGTAATACATTTTCAATTCTTATTTTCTATCTACGTGACTTTACCGAAAGAACCAAGAATCTTCATGCACCTACCACATTTTGAACATAAACGTATGCTTGTCGTGTGAAAAACTAAATGGTCGGGCATTGTATTACACATTCTATAATTCAACAACATCCTTTTGTACCGATAAAAATAAGTTGTAGGAATTATATAAGTTGTAGGAATTCAATGGTGAACAAAAAACACTTTTAATGTGACCGAGGGAGAATTTGTAACTCATTGAAATTACGCATGCTGTACATTTCTGTAAAATAATAACACTTAAAAAGTGATTGGGACACATGCAGGGTTTTAGATGTCTACACAGGCTAACTAGGCATTCACAAGTAAATTGGGGCGAGAGGCATTGACCACTTAACATGGGTTGGTGATTATATAAACGTTCATTGGCTGGAATTCGCCAATTTTCTGTTATGAAGCCACTGGAGCTATGCACTTTTAAATCTCGATTGAGAACTCATTTCTTTAGAACTGCTTTTTGTGTTTAGTCTGTTGTCCTTCCCCCGCACCTCTGATTAGCCTGGTTGGCTACGTACGGTGTGAAAGAAGTTCAACATACATGAATTCCAAAATAATGAATAGAAATGAGTTATAAACACGCGTACACTGCATTAATACGAAATAAGTTATACATGTTATACAGGATTAGTGCGTAGAAATTTGAATATGCTATTTAACATAAATTCCAAAGCCGGACTGACTAAAACTTTCGAGATAAAGCTGTAGGTTATGAAAGCCAGCGCTTTGGAAATACAATAATGTACAGTCATATTTCATTCAATGTTTACACAAAATACTGGAAGAACAAAACATGTTTAATGCTCATATGGACATACCGAAAACAATTAACTTTGTTTTTGTTACAAAAAAAGCTTAAACAGCCATAAGAGAAAACAAAATCGTAGACACCTCGATGGATGACTCATTGTTATGTTCTTAGGTTTTTTCGGTAAAGTCAAGTAGGTAAAAATTTAAAATTAATAAAAGTAAAATTAAAATAAAATATGTCATTGTTTCATATTGCTATTGTGTCCTCTAGGATATTCTTCTTCTCTTTCAGAGGTATAATTTTTGTACATGTTTTAGCTTCTCAAGTTTGATAGTTAGATGTCCAATATTTAATCCAACAATTGTATCAAAATAAAGCAAATTACTTTGTACATAGCTTAACCAAGACGCACCTGTGTGCGCATTCGCTCGCCTTCTCATGTAAAGACTAAATGAGTTCCTGGAACGTAAAATACACACCGCAAAGGCCACGTACGAACCGAGCTGTTGTCAAAACAGAATCTGGATAAAAAAGCACACCCATTGGGAGTTCCGTCGGTTGGCGAGTTGTATTTCGTGGGGGTAAACTGTGGGTACTCCACACTTCTTCCAAAACTTCTTGCTGGCGTGGGAGAGGTCAAATACTCAGTGTGTGGGCTCTCTAGAGCTCCCTCTAGTGGAGGCCCTTCCGCAGCAGTGGTGTGAGAAAGCAACTGCAGGGCTGCGCTTTTGCCTATCATCTTGGACGCAAGTCCAGCCGTGCTTATATCTGACATGTGCTTGTACCAGAAGTTGCCCTGTTGCCTCCGCCCCACCAAGCTTACATTAACCAAAAATGTAAGCTTGCGTTGCTTATATCAGAACTGTGATGAAATAAACGCATTTACATCCAGCTTCTACTGAAAGTTAAAACTACTCTTTAGCAAAATTATACTTCAGGTAAAGTATTGTGAACCCTAGAGACAGCTTTATGCAGCAATCACATGACCTTATAAAGAGCTATTGTTAACATCTAGACTGAGGATCTGCTTAGATTTATCCATAAGCGGCATTTGATATTCACAGAAGCCTTGTGATCACAATTTGGAGAGCGAATAAATCAGATTCGTAGTGATTATATTACAGTATTTTACATAAGCCTTTCCGCATTCCCACTGACAATGCTATTGTAGATAAGGCACTGAGCACAGGAGAGGAATAATGATTCTCCCTGCCTTCTGTTTCGATGAATTGCCGCGTTCCCAGGTTGTGATTCAATTGAAGGACCAATCTTGTTTTATCATTGTTGTGGTCACCGGGTCTCAAGTGGTTGGAGTGGTCTTAAATGAACCCGATACATACAAAGTATACGAACCAAAAAAATACACCGAATCTTAGATATATATACGCGATTCAATGCACGTATTGTTTCGGTAAATGATCAATATTCATCAACAATTGATATCATAGGGCAGTGCTGGTAAGTTTGTGAACCCCCTGTAGCAAATCAGTTTAAATATTTGTCCAAGTTTATTTCTCTTGATCAATTGTATTCAAGTAACGAGAACACCTGCCAAGGCCTGCCCCTCCACTCCTTACAATAAGATAATACAGAGGGGAGCGGGGGGGTGCAGGTAAGAAACTTGACTAATGTATGTACAGCTCACCTGGGCTGCGGTGATGCAAGGCTTGTTCTCGTTGTTCATTTGAAAAATGAACATCCATCGTTTCAATCGGCAAGCGGGGAATCGACCGAATACGAGCTGCAGAATCCTAACCACGGACGATCGGCACCGGCAAACAAAACTCCGATGCAGGCCCAACGCTTGAACCAAGCTGCATCGGGCACGATTTATTATTTTATAAATCTCCACTGACGTAATATGCACAGCATAGTCTCGTCATGTAGTATAGCCTGCGCATTTTGCACTCACTGCTGAAACTCCAGCCAAAGTAGTCGGAGAGAGAGAAACAACAACCGAACGTTTTGACAAAAAAAAAAACATGCAACACATGCCGGGTTTTTGTGTCGAAATGTGCAAAGTTTAACAAATGAGTAGTGTTGTTTTTTCAATGGCATCAGTCGTTATTAAGTTAGTGTGAATCAGGAGATATGGCACGTAGTTAGCCGAGAAAGTGTTGAAAGCTTATGCCAGGAGATGTTGATGAGGTCACAGATGTAATCGGAGGGCAGTTTATACAGAGAGAGAATTGAGCTTTCGACTGGGGTATAGATAATGTACTCGCATGCTTTAGTTTATTCCATATCCTTTAAAAATTATATGCCCCTTGGCAGTACAGAGATAATGAGATGCGTTTAATAGTATTAGCGTAAAACATCAAGAGGCAGTTAATTTGTATTAATGAAGATGCAATCTGTACAAAATCATGTTATAAAGCTAATGGAGTTGCTAATGTATGTTACAAGGTGGAAGTTATTACAATAAGGCATTTTGGTTTTCAGTTTATACAAATAATACAGCGGACATCCTAAAACTAAGTGAAAAGAAAAGGACACTATAAACGTTGCCAAAAGCAATAATGAAACAGCCAACCATTAGAGGCTTCAGCATTAAAGGCAAGAACAGGGATTACATTTCTTAGAATACTTGGATTCAGCAAATGCTACGCACGCAACCAAAACTACAATATCACAACCAGACTGGCAAGATAACTGCTGTACAGTGAACAATACTGTGACAGCACCTCCAACAGATTTGAAGCAGACAGGCCTGAATGCACAACGTGAGGTGTTCTTACGACCCCTCCTGATCAAATCCTTTTCACAAGCCGGGGAAATTATCAGTTCAGAATTATACATTTTTTTAAAGCCGCAAGGTAGAACGGACCTGCAACTGAAACCCTGTCGACATCATAGCCCTGACTTGAGTCCACTTTTATCAAAACTGTCCAGGTACTTTCTTTAAATCCCAAGTGGTTCCTTCCACACCAGATCAATACAAACGCGAACAACAAATGCATCGCAGCAACAGGTTTAAAAAAATATGTCAAAGCCGCTTGTGCGCAATCACCTGTTGCCATGCGATCCGGCAAAGGTGTAGGTGTGTGTGTGTGTGCGCGTGCCGACGATGTCTGTACACGCCGCTGCCGCTACAGCTCATCTCTGGCGGTGGCGTCGGCTATGTCCGTGGCGCCACCTAGCGTTTTCCTAGCGGCCTGTGTGTCTACGAGCTCCTTGGCGAAGGCGCCGCCGCCTTTCACGACGCCAGCCCCCCTCTCGGGCCAGCCGCCGCCCACGGCCCCCACTCCGGCGGGCACGCTGGCCTCCCAACCCTTGGTGCCGCCGGCTTCGTCGGCCTCCCCTTTGTTGCCACCGTTGCCTGCCTCCGCCGTCGGACGAATGTTCGGCAGCCGCCGCTTGCCCCGGGCCCCTCCATCTTTGGCGAGGGCCCCCAGTTGGTGTCGGGGGCCGCGGTGCCGTCCCGATCGTCCCAGATGGTGGAGGTCTCCGTGTCGCTCACGTAGTTGGCCTCGCCCGTGTACTGCGTCGGGTAGACCAGCAGCGGCTCGGCCGAGAACGCGCGCAGGTCCCGCGGCTCAAAGTACTCGAGGTACTGCTCACTGCGTGGCGGGAGGGGACTAAGTTGAAATACAGGGCGAGAACAATTGGGGCGAGAGGATGGCACCTGATAAAGAGAAAAGACTGGATGGTCTGGACACGAGTCTACAATGGATCCTGGAAAGAAGACCAAACACGGGGTGACACACGCAAAGTGCAGGGAGCAGGAAATATACGAAGAGAAACGTGTGCTGAATTGACGCGGATAGAGAACGAGTGGTTTAGGCTAGAGTTCTTCAATTGTTGCAACCTATGAGCCAGATATTAAGCGCACAAGATCACGGACCGGCCCTGCCGAGCCATATAAAATTCGAGATGCAAGTTGGCGAGACGAAAGCGAGAGAGAAACAAGGTCTAGGCATGGCAGAGCTACAGAGAAGAGAATAATATGAATGAGATGCAGGCAGGATAAACACGAGAGAGAAGGAGAGAGACGAGAGACCTGGAGACAAGAGGTTAGAGGTCACGTTATGACGTCACGACGCCAACGCGGCGCCATAACGTCTGCCGCGCGTGACGTCGTAGTGCCTGCGTGGCCCGTCACCACGCCCTAGTTTTATTGCGTGGCCCACCATTGCAACGCAACCCTGGTTTGGGGCTAATAAGTATAACCCGTAAAAACAAAGTTTTTCACTATAAATCCTTTATATGCGTGGCGGCTAGAGTCCTCTCGTCCTCTGGCTTGAGATGGCTGCCACCTATGGGTCAGATGATTGTCTGCCAGTATTAAGCAATTGGTAATTAAATATTTAATTTGTTTTCCCTAAACAGTGTACAATTTTGGAAAAAAAATTTCAGGAACATTAATTGTCTCGCACAACGAGTCTGTGTGCAAAATGTCAGCTCGATTGGATCACGGGAAGTGGGTTAAAAAACGACCGAAAGATTTGCACGGTCGTAAGCAAGCAAGCAAGCACGCAAGCAAGCGAACTTAATATAAAGGATTTAAAAAGACGATGAAAGGGAGGCCGGAAGGCGAGAGAGCGGAATTGGAGGCGGAGAACTGGCGGCGTGAGGGATCGCAAGGAGGCTCTCACATGGGATGCTTGTTGAACATGACGGGCAGGTACTCGTCCACGGGAAGCATGCGGCCCAGCGGCTCCCCGGCCAGCAGCTTCCGCGCGCCCTGCAGTGACACTGCATATGCCAGGGTCCAGTAGGAGTAGTCGGCCCACACCAGGTTCCGTATGCCCTTCACGGACCGCTCCGGGGTGTCGATCTGCATCTTCTTGCGGCCGATATATCTGCGGGCGAGATTAGTGCGTTCACCTGTTGTTAGTCCGTCTGTTGTTTTAATTTTAAATTGAGATGTCTGTGATTTATTTTGCCCACGAAGGTGCACGTGGAAGTTTACTGTTACTTAGGGACCCAGTGCAAATAGCAGAGAAGCACGCTCTTCCACTGAACAACTTTGTGAGCGATTAAAACAGTACATCCGTTATCCATGGAAGTGGAACATTTGATTTCGCAATGGGTTCTCATTTTTGGTCCAAAATTTAAATTGAATGCAACTGATTAGGGTGAGCGTTAACTTGGGCTTTACCTTGGGCTGAATGAATACAAATTCAAAGTGGTTTATGACTCACAAGATTCTCATCCCTTGCTTACAGCCCAGAGCTTTGAAAAGATCCATTTCTGTTACAGAGGGTAGGCTATTCAGACAACAACAACCTCTGCCGGTTTAATCCACTCCCAAGGAATCAACGACCGAGTAAACCCCCCTGCCGATTAGACTTCAGAGTGCGAGTCACGTTCTCTACACGCTGCGCCATTCAGCTAGATTATGGGCTTAATCAGCCCCCACGTGTTAAACGCAGCATACGTAAATGTCTCCAAAAACATCGAAATGTATTGGCCACCGTACAGCTTGGCCTGTGTGGCCGGTTAAGTAGCCTCCGCTACTGAAGCTTGGTCTGTCTGGCCATTTGGCTTAAACACCTTGAGTGAGAAAGCAACAATACCAGCTGGCTCCACACACACGCACGCACGCATGCACGCTCACATCAGGTCCCAGTTGAAGTTTAAGCTCTTAACGTCTGCAATGAGCCTCTCCAGGCGGTGGCGGAAGAACGGCTCGAAGCGGACGTCGTCTTCCAGCACCAGCGAACTGGGGAGGCCGCGATCCACCACCTGGCGGGACAGCGGCGAGTTAGCCAGGGCGGGCGAGGTGCTATGGGCGACTCCAGACCCAGCTATCGGCTGGTGCGCATCGACCGAGTTAATACTCCGTTTCTAATAACAGTAATGTACATGATTCACCCAGGAAAGCCTTATTTATCGATTTAAAGCTTTCGTGACTGCAGGGATTCATCTTCTTGGTTCTTTCGGTAAAGTCACGTAGAAGGGAAGTAATAAAATAACAAAAATAAAACATAATAAAATAATTCTCACGACGTTTCGGCCACAACGCAAGCAGCCGTCCTCAGGTGGAGAACAGGTCCGTCAAGTAGATAGAGTCAGACTCTTATTTAATTATGTTTTATTTTTGTTATTTTATTACTTCCCTTCTACGTGACTTTATCGAAAGAACCAAGAAGATGAAGCCTTATTTAGTTGGGGATGTTTGGTCAATTCTATGCAGGAGTGCATGGCATGTGGGAGGAAACCAGAGTACCTGGAGACAACCCACGCACAAAAGGGTGTTTTGCGCAGCACTGACGCCCCCTGCACTCCTATGCCTCCAACACTTGGCAAGCCCTGATGGTCCCGAAACCAAATACCATCCAGCCTCGAACCTGTTTAGCCCTGGGGACATTCAAGTTCGGGCGCATTTGTGGTCATTTGCTTGCATGCACCTTGGTGCAGAAGAACAACATTATAGCTCAATTTCATCAGCATGTGTAGGTGCTAATTTTATCCAAGTTGACAGGAGTGCAGGAATGTGCAAGTTAACAAAAGCAATGCTCACCCACCCTAAAATGCTCGTTACTTCCAGGTCATTGGCAGTGCGAGTGTGCACAGTAAAGGAGAGAGAGACAAGCGTGGGCGACGTGGCAAACAAAAGTTTCCGAGGAAGAGGATATGCCGAGTATATGTCAGTGTTTCTGGTGCCAGGGGCTGCAAATCATAGCTCCACCCAACACGTTTGTGTCAACGATGCAATTTCGATTTAAAGCTTTCGTGACTGCAGGGATTCATCTTCTTGGTTCTTTCGGTAAAGTCACGTAGAAGGGAAGTAATAAAATAATAAAAATTAAACATAATAAAATTATACAATATAATAATATAAAATAATAACGATGCAATTGTCAACTGAAGCGTCAAAGCCACATTGCGAATTCAGCTTTAGAGTTTCACGCTTTACGTTCATGGAATGGAGTTATATTTTTGTGTTGTAGCATTCATGTGTGACTGCTATGATGTGAATACCATTAAAGTGTGATTGATCACCGAAGTGAATACCATATTCATCCAGATGATAGGATGCCCCAGAAAGAAAAATGCATCCCCAAAATGTGGGGTCATTTTGAAACAAAAAACTAATATTTGTGGGGAAAATACGGGATCCTGGGAAATCAGTAAACAAAGGGTGAAAAATACAAAGTTGTTAAATATATACACAGGATGCTTGGAAAAGAATATGGTAATAATGCAAGTGGCTGTGTTACTGCAATAAAATTGCTTCCTGTACACGACGCCAATAAAGTTACTAAACAATCTGGTCACATACATAAGAGTGGAAGTGGTCATGGTGCCAATTATGTAATGCGCCAGATGGTGAAACAGTCGCGTAGACACAACCGATACTCAATTGCCAAAACAAAATACACAAAAAAATTCGAATCTTTGGAGCGGCGCAGAGGATACATCTGCACCCACGGGGCAATGATTCTATGGGCAGCACCTACATTCACACGTGGCCCTGAGATCACAACAAGAAACCTAACTAATGTAGGCTCTGGCCAGGCCAGGGAAAGGGGAACACCTCTTGCCAGATGCCGTAGTGGCTCAAGAAGCAGCCGATCTCTCCCTTGGTGAGAACGCGGCCAGAGTAGGGGTCGTGGTAGCCGGGCAGCATGTCCACTCCCAATGCCCGGATCTGACTCTTGTTGAGTGCCCTAGGGGAGGACACGGCACTCGCTTGAGCAAGATCGCAGACGCAACAACTCAGTGTGGTGGTGGTGGTGGTGGCGGTGGCGGTGGCGGTGGCGGTGGCGGTGGTGGTGGTTGTTGCGGCCTGCGTACTTCCCGTCGACTGCGTCCACCACCTTGCACTGTATTTGCTGCTCTTCGAGCGATCGCAGCATGCGGACCCGCCGCTCGGGACGACGTTTCAGGTTGATCATGTACACCTGGAGAGCCAGGCAGGGAACAGTTGTTGTTGCTGTTGTATAGAAATTAGGAACAGCTTTTATTCAGAGGGCTCGATATGAGGCAACATTGCATGTAAACAGCTTCACGTTTTAGAGTTTCATATTAAATAACGTTATCATTAAAATAATTGTATTCCAGTTTTATATTGAATAGTCTTATATTCAGGAGATTCATATGCCACAGCTTCAAATTTAACCATTTCGCGTTCAATCAATTTAAATAAGCAGACAATTAATCTCATGTATATGTCTCCCATCATTCTGGAAGTACGTAATTTTACCAGCAGTGATTCAATGCAATTATTTTGTGTTTAGTTGTCCTTTCCCTGCATCTCCGATTAAAATGGTTGGCTGTGTAAGGTGCGAAAGAAGTTCAACATACATAGATGCATGCAAACTCTGGACCGGTTTTGACATGCAAGAGTCTCATAAGCAGAGCCAGGCTTGCTTTAATCAGTGCTGGTGAACTGCCAGATGGTATCGGCAGCATGGCTTCATAGATGTATGCTATGGCTCACCAGCATCTGACAGTTCACCGGCTTCGATTCAAGCAACCCTGACCTTGCCGCTGAGACACTGTATATTGAAAGACGGTCCACAATTTGCTTGTACAGTAAAACTTTGGATTGCGAGTAACTTGGTCTGCGAGTGTTTTGCAAGACGAGCAAATTTTTAAAATAAATATTAATTTGATAAACGAGCGAGGTCTTGCAATACGAGTAGTACGTGTTTACGCTTTGTCTGCCGAGCGTCACCTGATCACAACTGATATACGAGTGCTTTGGATTACAAGCACGTTTCCGGAACAAATTATGCTCGCAATCCACGGTTTTACTGTATTGAATCAATGTTGATGAAAGTACGCACTCCCAGAAGGAGATGGGGCCGCTAGGTTGTGTGGAGACAATATTGGGGAAAGCAGATGAAGATAATTAAAGAAAAATATCGATGCAACTCTTTCACAGCAGCGATCATTCCAATAGTTTTGATTATTACACGCTTTTATTTAACTCACTCTGTCTGTTGTTGTCGTATCCTCAAATCTTGTAACTTAATTTTAACCGACTTCCCAATGTGGAATCGACTGCAAACTTCGTATACTTATGTCTTACTGATGACAAGACGATATTCTATCATTAAAAATAAAATAAATATTAATAAACCATCTTTTTTACATGTTATGTTTCGGCTTGGGTCTAATTGTCCACGCTCAACTGACGTTGGCTGTAAATCACCACGGCCCCTTACGTTGTGGCAAGCCTCGGGCCACTTACTGGAGTCGTGGAGTTCTGCCATTACTCGTATGGTACATTTCATTAAAGCGTGTTTTTTAAAAAGTATATTTTTTATATGAATTGACTAGAGCTTACACGGATGAAAGACTTTTCTCTATTTATAGAGACGAGTAAAATTAAACGTGTTGAAAATTAAACGCAGCTCAACGTGAACCAAACAATTAAGTAACAAATGAGAGTTACGCACTTTTGCATAAATCACTTCCTTCGGAGGCTCACAGCTGGAGACGTTTTCGGTTTTGAAAATTATTTGTTATTATTTAGTCTTGAAATGTGGTCAAACATAATATAACGATACAACACTCTTGTAAAACAGATATGAAATAGTTGGGAAGGCAAAAAACAAATGCACGCGTTGACTCGGATTAACCCTGACGAAACCTTCGGCCTCTATTTATAGATAAAACTTCGCCTGTACCCCTGAACCCAACCAATCATCTAGGCAGGCGATTGCTGACATTCATGGGAGCCAATGGGTACAGTAAGGCCATATGTTAATGGTTGGTTGCCTTACACAGAACAGGGCAACGTGACCCAGGACATGAAGAAACCATGTTAATCCACCTCCCGTAACGAGATCCAGTGATTTTTTTAAAATAAATTTTAAATATTCCAACATAAAAACCCCTGTTTGATGAGAAATCTCATTCTAACAGGTGTACTGGCGCCATTCCATTAAGAATGTTCTCAATTGACATTAACAATCGTGTTAACTATCTGTGGTGGCCTTAAAAGCAACCCAAAGCAGAACTAAACAGTCACAGGAAATTGATCCGTCACTCACGGAAGAAAACTATCCTGGCTTCACCGCCCATTCACAGCTTTCCAGCCGATGTGGTCGGGCCAGTGAGACGACAATTCATGACGCCCAGTGCCTGTCATTACCTCGTCAAAGCCCATCTTGTCGAGCTCCCTCTCCGGCATGTGGATGTACTGCGATGGCTTCATCGGAGGCTCTTCCACTGCAAGGGCACAACGGCATTATCTAAAGGTCCAATTACTGAAACAGCCTAACCGCAAAGCCCCCAGTGTCATGCGTGATTAATACATGGTATTTTAATGATTCGTGCATTTAAAGGCAGATGCAAAAAAATAAAAGACCTTTGGTCAACACGGCACGCCAATAGCTCTCTTGTAATGGCTCTCCATGTTACGGCGCTATCGAAAATGTCGTTATATAATGAATGAGCCAGTCATTTTAATTGATGGGTTTTATTTCCACAACCACTCAATAATATCTACGGGGAATTAGTAAGCAGTGTCTATTGCGCGAGTGGATGTTAAAGATGCTGTTGTGTAATTTTCAATCAGAGGCCCACTGTGTGCCTGTGTCATGGCCCACATCCCAAATAAATAAATAGAAATTATAAAACAAAATTTTTTTATCATTCACTTTTCACAAGACTTCCCTGCCAAAAAAACAAGACTGTCAACATGTGCTCACCTGGTTAAATAAATGTGAATTAAATCTTGAAATGACCTAATTCTTGTTGAATTATCAAAGCTCTTTTTTGGGGGGCTGGTACTGAACGCTGCCGGCTTGTGTAGTGTTCCAGCGCGGTGTACAGCTTGCACGCACCCATGATCTCCAGATGGGTGTGAATGAACATGTCCACATCGTCCTGCAGCGTGATCTCTGCCTTCCCTGGCACCACCAGGTGTCCAAAGCGATGCTGGTTACAGATGTACATGGGCACACCTGCAGGGAGGGAGCAAAACACATGGAGCGATTGTATGAAAATCCCCCAGTGAGGCCTTGCCAACTGGACAAACCAGTGCTGTTACAGAAAGGACACTTTACGTAGGACAACACGGCAAGCAAGAAGACAATGTTGTCAGCACCAGGCTTGACCACCTTCATCTCCCCAGAACTGATAGTTTACATACCACACAAAGTACTTCTTTTGAGCTGTGCTGACCTAAGGGAGGCCCAGGACAAATGTTGATACTATGTGCCATTTATTCGATCCTTCTAGGCTGGTGTCACACATGCATACACTATGACCAGTTTTCTTTAACAAAAGTGATATGTAAATAATCTGCCATCCATCAACTCGATGAAATAAAATAAACCACCATGTTATTTTTTCACATGGTGGCATTACAGTAGCAACATCGTGAGCATAACGATGGGAATCATTCAGAGTGTAATATTACATCGACTCATCGATAAAAAATGAGTCTTACACTCACAACACATGCATCCAATCGTGTGTTGAGAATATTATTTTCGATGTAAAAAAATTAGTTCACGCGACTCCTGAATCGGCCACCAGAGGTGCTACATTCACCGCAATGCAAAATAAAATAGATTCTCGTATCAAACCGCGTGACAGGTCGTCACTGCATGGCGAGGAGAGCGAATTATTTTAGGAGAGGCTGCCATAGAGGCTATTTTTCCTCCTCTTCCAGCGCTGGTAAGACATCTTGGAAGAGGTGGGTGACACCCACACTTTACCCCACCACGTGCAAGCTGCCAATCGACTCGTGACGGTACCTATTTATACTGCTCGTTGGATATAGTGCAGTGGGGAAGATTTAATAAACTTGCAACATTGTTTCAACCGTCGCGCCAGTGTGACCACCGTTACAAACGCGGCAGCGTCAGGATTACAAACGAAACAAAAATGTGAAAACGTAAACAACAAAAACAAATAAAGCAACATTCATCCGTGACAGAGGAGGGCATTGCGGCACCGAAGTGCTTGCAGGAGGCGGCGAAGACGATGATGTCGTCGAAGGGCCAGGCGTAGTTGGGCGGCGGGGGATAGAAGCTGATGAGGCGCGACGCCTCGCGGCGCAAGTCGATCAGGAACGTCGAGTGCACCATGGGCACGCGGAAGCAGCCGAGACGCTCCCGCTCCCGCACAGGCAGGTACTCGGGCGCCCTCTTGTAGTAGCCCTGCACAGGGAGGCCCCGGTGTGAACAAAACAGGCACAACGACGTCTCCCCCTCGTCCAAAAGTCCCATTATTGCGAAAAGTCCTGCACGTGGCAGCAGTCACGCATGGTTATTTGTGTGATCATTTGCATATTATCCGTTTCCTTCAAGAAACATTCAAAACAGTTTCATATCTTCTTCTTATAAGCCAAAAGTCTAATTATTGTATGCGGTCAGCTGCTTGGAATTTCCTTCTCTGTGTGGCTTCCATTCTGTTCCTGATGTCCAGTCCCAGCCACTGTCCTCATATCTCACTCCACCGCATGCTCCCATCTCACCCTTGGCTTCCATCTACACCTTCTGCCGTGCACCGGTGGTATCTCCACAGCGCTTCTAGACGACGGGTCTCTATGCGAGTCTGCGGGCCTCTCATCTCGAAAGCCCTTCCTGTTGCAAATTCTTTGTTTCTTCTCAACACGTGCCAAAACCATCTCCCTAACCTTCTCGATGCTATTGCTAACCCCTGCGAAGGCTCTTAACCTCTTCGCTCAGCCTTCTTTCCTTTACAAAACACCTCCAACATCCACTTCGGCGTTCGTATCCCCGTTCTTTTCTAGCACTCGTTCCTATTCCTTCCTTGGTGCCCACGTCTCTGCACGATATAAAAGGACCGTGCTCTGCACGTTACCATTCCGTTGTACTCGTATGATTTTCAATCAACGTAACACTCCTGAAACCTCGGCACATTTGTGACATCATGCTGTGTTGACCCATTTCCTTCCCACCACTGTTGCCCCACCCTCCTTCCTCAATTAATATTCCACCTGAATACTTTAAACTACTGACCTAAATTGATGCCCATCCCCCCCTCTTAGAACGAACAAAGCTGACGTTTAGCTTCGGTATACGAGGGATGGAAGTACATTTTGTGACTTAACACAGGAGGAATGGCCATACCACAGATGATGGATGTTTAGTGGGCATTTATGAACGTACCATTTCCTCTTTTAAAATCGATTCTTATTCTCAAGACATGGGCATTCAATTGCGTGAGAAAATCTATTATTTATTATTTACAATGTATGCATTTTTAGTTTGGGTTAACAGTACAACCAAAATTTGACAACAAGACATAAAAGTGATTAACAGTAAATAAAATCAACACCCTGAATTGTGACAATTTATCAAATAGCTAGGGAGGTAAATTGTGAATATACACATGTCAATCCACCGCTGATTCGGGCCTCCCTTCACCGTGCAGTTGACGGAGGTTATTTGACCACACCTCACCCCACTGGTCAGTGGCGTTTGGTGAAGTTGGGCAGCAAACACGTGGTGGGATGGATCTTACTGCATTGCCCTCTACTGCATGAACATAACCCCCCCCCCCAGCCTACAACGTCCTGTTTCACACACATTGGTCACCCATCCAACCACCACCCAGGCTCAAATCCTGGCTTAGCTTCCGAGATCTAATGAGGTGGGGCACATTCCAGGCACAATGCAAAGACACAAAGTCGTTGTCTCGTCCGCCACATATCTAGGCTGTATGTCTTGGGCTCATTCTAGTTTTGAAGTTTTCGTGACTGCAGGGATCTTTGGTTCTTTCGGCTCTTTCGGTAAAGTCAAGTAAGGTATAAAATATAAAATAAATTCAATCACGGCGTTTCGGGCGCAACACATATACCTACGTGACTTTAACGAAAGAACCAAAGAGTATGTCTTGGGCTGTCGGCGAGACTTTGAAGTCCGTTAATGAGAAACATGACTGTGAAACCGGGATCGGGCGTGCCTTTACGACCCTCTAGTGAAGTAAATCCCATACTCTGTATTGCGTGACGTTACTGGATCACTATGATTTGATGCCTGACTGTAACTTTAAGCTTTTTTTTTATTAATAGAGCCTTAAAATCATCCTGGGAATTCGAGGACAGACCATAGCTCAAGTTTGTATCTACTACATAAGAGGTTTTCATTTTTGTAGTTGTGTTTTCCACGAAAAGATATTACTTTCAAGAAGGATTAGCAGGTTTCAGAATAACATTATGAACTGTCATGTTTCACAGGACGATGAAATCGCGTTGTTTGTGTGGTCAAAGCCAAAGACTGGAGAAAAATAAAATAAAAAATCCGGAAAACCTATCCTCACCAGATCTGGCTTCAATCACTTCCACATGTGGTCACAGTTAAAGAACAGCTTGCAGGGAATGCAATTTTCTCGTGACGATCAACTGACATGGGCCGTGTAGAGCGAGGCAGAGAGCTCTTGCAGGCGAGGATTAGAAGCCTCAGGCTTTGCCCTTCAAGGCGACCTTACAGAAAAATAACACAGTTCCAACAAGATCATCCACTGCTTTCTATATCATGCTACACACACGTACTATGCGTGTATGTATGTTGAACTTCTTTTGCACCGTACGTAGCCAACCACGCTAATCGGAGGTGCGGGGCAAGGACTACAAACGAAACACAAAAAAGCAGTTCTAAAGAAATGAGTTTTCAACTTAGAATTAAAAGTGGGCAGCTACAGTGGCTTCCTAATATCGGAAAGGAAGAGCGTTCCAGACGACCGCAGAAGCGGATCATTTCACTGCTGTTTTCAATACTTAAAACGGGTCAAAGCGCGCCCATCTGGATAAACAGCTGACAGACTGGGGAATCGAATGTTGTCAAGTCAAGGAATGAAGCCGAGATGCACGCCGAGAAAATTCCTTTCGGTGTTTCCACCCAAGGCCTTTCCGTGAAGTAAATGGGACAACGCTGCAGTACACTATTCAAGGACGAGTTGACTGCATGTCTTAGCACCTACCTCACGAGCGTATGCAAACCGCTGCGATATACCCAACAAAGCGCGCAACTCAACTTATGCAACGGGTGTTTCTGTGCAGCAATGTTACATGGTCCCAGGTGGGAGCTTGAGCTCAAAACCTGAGAGCCAAGGATTTAAACATCTCGGCTGTCTGCTGATATATTCCTTTGCCTATCCAGTCAAATGCTACACGTGCTGGCTATTACATAGCATGTACACAGCCAGGCGCAGCTGAACACTAAGTGGGGGCCCTGTGCAGAAGGGGAGAACTGGGGCCCTGGGGACAGCCAAAGATGACAGAGTAACACAAAGCAAAAAGAGAGACACAGAGACACGAGACACTTTTTGGGGCCCCGTGCATGTCAACATGTTTCGCAAGCATAGGGACATAGCACTTTTTTCCGCCAGGCATTAATGTATATGCATGCAAGACTTCAACACTACAGTACTAGAGGAAATAGTGATTGTCTATATACATAATCTCACCCTCGCCACAGAATCAAGACTGTAAACAGGAAATGGGTGCCACCCCCTGCTCGTTGGGCTGGTAATTGTGTTGACCAGACTTTGATTTGAGGAAATGCAGGTATCGCTGCAAGGGGGTCATGTACGCTACGTACGGTGTGTGCGGTGTGCCCAGAGTGTGCAATGCGGGGGTATACACACGCAATGCTGAATGCGTTGTGCGTGGTGTGCACTTGGTGTACATGCCGGATTTGTGTGCGAGTGTGTGCACGTGTGATGAGCACGTACGGTAGGCGCAGTGTGTCTGTGTGGGTGTGGTGTGCACATGGCACATGTGCGGGGTGGGATGCGTGCATGCAATGCGTGCTACAGTGTCTGTGGTGTGAGTGTGGCGGGTATGAGGTGTGCCCGCACGATAGGCGCCATGCACGTGGGGTGGGGTGGCGTGCGGCCTGCGGTGTGTTTGGTGCACACGTGTGATAGGCGGTGTGTGTGTGTGGGGTTCAATCGCTGTGTGGTGTGTGTGTACACGTGAGTGTGTGTGTGTGGGGAGTGGTAGTGCAGCGGTTAGCGCGCTGCGCTATGAACCTGGCAACCCGGGTTCAATTCCCGCTCACGGCCAACACCAATGACGATTATCTGAACCGGTCCTGGGCCTCCCCTAGGTCGACTCAGCCTCAAATGAGTACCTGGTGTGGTGTGTAAACATCGCAACTGGGGAGACAGAGGCGGTCGGGCCTGGTGCTGGCCACCCACCCCCTCGTGTACCATTCCGGCCTTCATAGGTGCTCGCTAATAGCACTTGCCCCTACAGTCTGTTAAGGCTATACGGGGAATCTTTGTCTTTGTTTTGTGTGTGTGTGGGGTCCAATCGCTGTGTGCGTTTTGGTGTGCGCAATAGAAAAGTTGCATATGTGGTGTGCATTTGTGCGAGGTGTGCGTGAGGTGTGCCAGGTGCACACGTGCAATAATAGGCGGCGTGTGTCTTGGTGTGCTCCCCGTGTGTCTGCGGTGCGCGTGATAGGCGCGCTGTATGTACGTAGAACTTCCGTTCGCACCGCATGTAGCCAACCGTGCTCATCGGAGGTGCAGGGCGCGTGTGCGGGGTGCGTGTGGGGCGCCCGAGGGCCGTGTGCCAAGAGCGCTGCGGCACCTGCTCGGTCATGGCGCTCCAGTAGTTGGAGTAGGCAGTGCGCGAGTCCAGCATGGGCGCCACGATGGTGCGGTTCTGAGCCACGAGGAATGACAGCGTCTTCTCGTTCAGCAGGAAATTGTCAACGTCCACGAACTGTGAAAAAGAACACCCATGGCCATTTGTAAATCGGGGGAACACTGCCCGACCAACGATTCATTCAGCCCTCCTTCATGTAACCATGTGATGGCTCACACAGGTTGTGTCGGTTGCAATGGAGACCTGCAGATACCGATGAACAGTAATTTTAAATATTTTTGTACAAGGAATACTCATTGCCTTATCATACCATGTTCATGATCGGGGGTTGTATGACCATACCTTACCACGCGGGGACAATATGCACCCACCGCTGATATTAGCCGTGACCAGAACTCAACCTCAGGTCACTAGGCTCATGACCACTGCAATGCACTGTTACCTTCTCAAGTATTGTATTCGAGTATTTGGCTGCTATAAATATCAACGTGATGAGCAATAATATGTGGCGAGGTAGCTTCTGAAAAAGAGCTATGGGGCCGTCCATAAATGACGTCACGCACCTGGGGGGGGGGGGGGGTCAGATATTTGTGACGATGTGTGACAAGGGGGGCGGGGTTTGAGAAATATGACGTCACATCAAAATGCGCAAACTTTAAATAAATAAAGACAACACGTTCTACTTAATTAAATAGACTTTTTGATAAAATGTTTTCTCGTACAACATCGAAGTGCAGCGCCACATTAAATACACACTACAATGACAATAGTTTAAAGTGATTTGAAGCAGGTTTTTTTTTTGGGGGGGGGTAGAGCTTTGTGACGTGATATTTGAGGGGGAAGTCTGACTTTTTGTGACGCCGTGTGACGAAGGGGGGGGGGGGGAGGGTCAAAAATCGTCTAAAATCGCGTGACGTCGTTTATGGACGGCCCCTATACAGCTCAGTGAGCCTTACCTGGTAAAAAAAAAAAAATTATTGTTAGTAATGTCTGAGTTTATCTGCACATATATAAGATGGCTGGATGGCCCAACACAAATATTTTAGTGCAGCGCTGAAATCTAATGATGACTGTTAGATGGTCGTGTCACAATGTTGGATTATGGGCTTCCACTTATGACTAAACATTCCAGAGTTTGCATTCTTAGTGAGGTTCTCTTAAGCCTAATTTCCAACCTCTGTGCAAAAACAGTGATTAAATAATCTAGGCCAGTGGCTCCAAGATTAGTTCTCGATACAACCACGTTTGAAAATGTGGTTTGTATCGATAGTTCAATTTTAATGTGCAATTTTAATGTGCAATTTTAATGTGCAATTTTATTGTGCAATTTTATTGAGAGACTGTGTGTTGTCTTGCTGTGGTATGGGACTTTTGTTGTTGTTGTTTTGCTGCCTTTCCCCAGCTTGCATTTATTGTTGAAATTCGGTAGGAATGTATATACTGTACTTTTCAAGTTGTGCCGATATATATTATATTTATTTATTGACCTGCTTACCTTTCCATACTTTGCACTCCTATCGGTTCTTGTATTGTTGTTGTAATTTTATGACCCGTCCCTTACTGGACATCTGTGAAATAGAGCTCCATGGCTCATCGGCTTCCGTCAGTCTAAATAACGATTCTGATTCTGATCACTCGTTGTGTCACAGGGGCCGTGGGAACTAATCCTAGGAATGCTGCACGTAAAAAAATAAAATAGAAAAATTCTTTCCACTGCCCGTCGCACAAATATTTAGAGGAGTCAATTAAAAGCAAGTTAATTGCACACATCGCTTGTAACACTTTTAGGGTAGAGCGATTCTTTTTTTTTGGTTTCAATGTGTCACTGGTGGCATCGCAGTCTGCGAAATATGCTGGTGGGTCAGCTGTGTGGTCCATGGGGTGCAAAAAGTTTGGGCACCACTGACCGGGGCTGTGAACACAATTTGGTAAAGGCCAGCTGTGTAGGGGGTAACGTTGCCACATGCTCGCCGATCAGATGACAGGCACACGGCAAACTCGTCTCTTTGTCGAGTGAAGTAGTTATGCCGCTTTGCTTCATAGAAAGCCCTTTTGTAGGTAATTAAACTAAATATTTGGCGATACTGCGTTGGCAGTGGCAAACAAGCGCAAACAGCAAAAAAACCCAACTCATTCGTCAATAACACTGCCCTAAGAGAAAACAAATAAATATATAATTGCCGACTTTTCGAGCAATGGCACCTCTTCATAGCACCGTGTTTTTTGACGATAGTGTTTGGTTTTCTTTGTCTATTATAGAAACATCAGTGGGCAGCAGTCTTCGATATTGCAGGGCTCTTCCCGAACTTTTCCAAATAGGGTTAGGGAGTCCGTTGTTGGGAGTTTATCCAAATGGTCACTTTGCCCCCAGTTTCGGTTTTCAGACTTGGACAAGACTAGCATTAAATTTCGATTTAAAGCTTTCGTGACTGCAGGGATTCATCTTCTTTATTTTACTTTTATTAACTTTAATGTTTTTTACCTATGTGACTTTACCGAAAAAACCTAAGAATATGAATCCTTGCAGTCACGAAAGCTTCAAATTTAGAGCTCCAAAAATTAAGATTCAAATTTAGAATTCATCTTCTTGGTTCTTTCGGTAAAGTCACGTAGAAGGGAAGTAATAAAATAATACAAATAAAACATAATAAAATAATTCTCACGACGTTTCGGCCACAACGCAAGCAGCCGTCCTCAGGTGAAGACGTCGTGAGAATTATTTTATTATGTTTTATTTTTATTATTTTATTACTTCCCTTCTACGTGACTTTACCAAAAGAACCAAGAAGAAGACAAGCATTGAAGAGACTACCCCTTTTGAATGCATGCTCACTACACGGGTGTGCTTTGGCAAGTACCTGCAGAATTTGCCAGGCAGCTATGGGAATAGATCCATCATCTCGGTGAAAACTGGCCTAGCAGGGGAGAATGTTAACCACCAGGCTAACCAAACGCGCATCACGATTGGTGCCCTATCAACATCGCACCAACCCCGATCATCTTTATCGGTATCTTCACTACTCTTTCACTGGAAACTTAAGACATTTCCTAGGAAGGGCAAGTTGGGGAAAACGTCAAAATCTTTTTTTTCTGTTGATGATGGCAAAATAATGTTATTTTAATTCATCTGTAATAAGCTCATGAAAGCAGTAACTTTATGTTATGAATGGGTCTCGCCGTGCAGTTGGCCAAGCTGATTCACAAAAATGTGTTCCTATGATAGTGCTTCATCTCAAAGGATTGCAAGCTCATAAAGGGTTTGTCTAATCTACACCAGGGGCCAAGGCATGGTTAAATAGACACTGTCAAAATGAAACGTTGAACGATGTCAGAATATCGATAAAAGCACTTGGAAATTCCTCAGTTACACAACCCGACAGTTGACACACAAAGACGATCATTTACAAATTAACACCACAAAGTTGTTTCGTAAAAGAGTTGTGCTGTAAAAAGGATTATCATTCAGCAACTGCTTCCGAAAGGGAAACAGCTGAATAGGCAATCTGAAGCTCGCATAAAAAATATGATCAACGTTTGCAAACAACCACATATACAATCAACTCAACAATTCACTGATCGGTAGGAAAACAGTTCAGTACTCAAACAATTATTAAACATTAGTATGGCTGTCAATTAATTAATTAAAATTGATTGCGTTCAAAACACAAGCATCAAATTGTCTATGCGACAATGGCCATCAACAGACAAATTTAACGTTTCACGTTTTCCTTCAGGTCGAATGTCCGAATGAAACTAGACACAACAAGGCACGCAGTGCAAACAATACACGTGGTACAGGACACACGAAAACGAAAATTTACAAAACTATACAAAGCAATCATGCCAGAGAAGGCGGTGACGGCACGTATTTTGGTAACACGGGGCATATTGATGTGGAGTCACGTATTGGCAGGCTCCGAGCATAGAGAAGAAACTGCCGAATTTGTCAAACCAGCCAGTAACACCCGGTCCACAAAAGTCGATTCAAAGAGCTTCACCGAAACTGGCACAGTTTACAAAATCGCGCACAATCATCTCAAAATGTGTAGACTTAACACACGCGAAGAGTACGGGCATTTAGAGACGTGATTACTTATTGCACCGGGAAATCTGTATTGTTATATGCTACAACTCAAAGGGGAAACACGATGTTTATCTGAAGCCTTTTGATCCTTGGGAGATGAAACAAACTTTCATGTCAGTGGGTGAGTTCAACACTCACTGCTACATTGTGAGGGAACTGAAAATTCCCATAACAGCGCCAGTCCAAAAGTAAATGCGTGGGCATGTGTAATGCAGACAAGTATACAATGGCTCTTTTATTACCACAACTTACACAGGATGGACTACTCTACTGTCCTATCTACTGACAAGACGAGGCTCTTCCACAGTGCTCATATGGGACTTGAAGGAGCACCCAAAGACTTTACGCAACAACTGGTGTGGACGAGACAGCCCGAACTCGTGACCCACCAAACTAAACCAGACCTAGTAATAGGTTTTTACCCTTTCAACTGGTACAAAAACTGACACCTTTATACAAGGCATCATTATCAGAGTTGTTTCTTTTTGTTTGCATTTTGACTGCTTGTGTTGTGGTTATTGCAAACATGATGCCTTGTATAAAGGTGTCAGTTTTTGTACCAGTTGAAAGGGTAAAAACCTATTACTATATTTTGCCACTGGTAAAGGAGGTCTCAGTGTAAATGCTTACCCCGAGCTCTCAATACTCTGATAGTGCGCTGTTTTGGAGTTGTACACCTTTTGGCGTCATCTGGTCCAACACCAATGGAGACTAGGCTCTAAGAAAAACTGTCTCGGGTGTGGACCAATCAACTTCAAGGACAGTGCATATCATTATCATTATCAGAGTTGTTTCTTTTGGTTTGAATTTTGACTGCTTGTGTTGTGGTTATTGCAAACATGATGCCTTGTATAAAGGTGTCAGTTTTTGTACCAGTTGAAAGGGTAAAAACCTATTACTATATTTTGCCACTGGTAAAGGAGATGTCTCATAGTGTAAACCAGACCTGTTGTTGATGCAGTGCTTTGTGTGGGGCTGTCTGTGTGCAAAACAATAAAATGTGTGCTACAAAATTCACGACAAATATAATCACACCCGACAAGTTGGCGAACACCTGAGACTCTCAAATCTCAACACGAGATGGATTGCCGATGCATGGCCGGTAGACATATGGAGGTTTAGAGGAATGAAACTCATGCGATGAAATCTTCATACTACCAAGTGTGTGAATGCTTGTATGTAACTATCTCAAACTGATGGATAATTATGGGTATTTATTTAACCTTAGTGAAGGTCCATTATTTAAATCATTCTAGAATATGCTAAGTTAATACGCATCAGCCAGTTGATGATAATAAAATAACAAAACGCATAGAAACACTTGGAACAAGAGATGGATCGTATGACTGGCCCCTACTGGACATCTGTGAAAGCGAGCTTCATAGCTCATCAGATTCCTCCTGTATAAATAAATATTCTGAAAAAGATATTCTATAATAACTGATTAAAAACAGAAGATATTAATACTGCATTTGAAATGTTTGAGAGTTGTTGGACAGCAACAGCAAAAGCAATGGCATATGAGGCCTTGATGACAATGCTGATGAGTGAGGATGACTAACGGTTGGCATATTGATGATCATGACGAAGATGGTGGGATACCGATGATCATGTGCGTCAGAATTGGATGGGTTGAGATAACGACAATGATGATTATAGTTATGGACATGAAGGCGATTGCTTGGAGTGACCATAATGAATTGTGATTATGTCACGAGAGTGATGACGATGAAGGCGGCGGTGGGTTGTTACGATGATCATAATGATGATGACGATGATTCCGACGAATGCGGCGGTGGTGCCGGTAACGTACGAAGATGTAGTCGGCCCATCGCTCGCGCGCCGTGTTGAGGGCGCCCTGCCTGAGCTTCATGACGTACTCGTAGCGCGACGCTGACCAGTGCTTGGGGCCCACCTCGTCGAGGTACGACCTGCCAGGAGAGAACACACACACGCAGCAGCAGCCCCCAAAGACTCACACACAAAGCCAATGCTACAATTAATGGACTCATTTCTTTGTTGTGAAAACTTGTTTGTTCTTCTTGGTTCTTTCGGTAAAGTCACGTAGACGGGAAATAATAAAATTCCCTTCTACGTGACTTTACCGAAAGAACCAAGAAGATGAATCCCTGCAGTCACGAAAGCTTTAAATCGAAATTTAACTTGTTAGTTGTTTGTGATTTTTGTTTTAGTGCCATTTCTTAATTTGTTTATTCATTTTAGACTTTGCTTGATATAGGGTTTAAATTTGTTTGGTAGTGGCTGAATAAAAATGAAAGTAAAATTATTAGCGTGAACTGTGGTGGTGGGGGATGTTTAAAACACAGACTTTTAGTAATATACATTCCTAATTTGGTAAGTTCATGTCTATGAGCAAATCACCTGGAATATGCACCTGATACGGTCAGATCTCAGAGGATAAGCAGAGTGAGCCTGGATATTCATAATCAACGTTTTTGGGTTTAGATCGCGTTTATTTATAAATGTGTCGTAACCCTCCACCACCCGACACGGCCAATCAGTAAAAATGTGTCACGTTGACAAAGACAAATAATTCACTGCTTTAGCCCACCGGTGTGTTGAAGCCACAACATTTACAATTTGAGTACGACGTTTCGCTGGTAATTGCAACCAGCATCATCGGGCAATTCGCCAGCGAAACGTCGTACTCAAATTGTAAATGTTGTGGCTTCAACACACCGGTGGGCTAAAGCAGTGAATTATTTGTCTTTGTCAACGTGACACATTTTTACTGATTGGCCGTGTCGGGTGGTGGAGGGTTACGACACATTTATAAATAAACGCGATCTAAACCCAAAAACGTTGATTATGAATTACATTGGTCGCGAAAGCCTACGTGTTAAACTGAGCCTGGATAGTTCTTCGATGGGCAACCACTATGCGTAAAACAAGGCTTTCAGAGGCTGCTGCGGTGCTACGTTGTGGGCAGCAGAATCTATTGTTGTACTGTACATCTATGCTCCCTGCCTTTACCAATTTGCACTTACCTGTGTGTTGGAGTATGGTAAAATAACCTCCAAAGCCTGCACTTCATGGGGATGCCCTTTTCCAGCAGTAGATTAGCAATAGGGCTGTACATGTATGTAATGGAACTTGCATAACTTGCTGTATTAGTCGACCGCACTATGATGCAACAGATGGTGCAGATGTTAGGTTGTGGTGGCTTGCAAAGCAGAAGACTGTCTTCAAATCCCGTTCCGTGATAAGCTCGGCTACTGATCACTCCAGGGCCATAACAATACAGTCGACAGAGTTTGTCCTCTTTATTGATTGTCCCACGCCATGAGAATGTGAAATTGACACCTCTGCCTCACAGCTGCAAGCAGGATATGAAAATTGTCCCATGCTTATATAAGCAGGAAAACACTTTGTAAATGTGGATCCAGTGGAAATATTTTGGGCTCCCACGCCATGGTTTACCTATCGCCATAATCTACACTGTTCAATCTACTAACATTAAAATCACTCTGAGAAGTACGTGTAAAAGTAATTTCTTGAGTAATACATACTCAACATGTAAAATTCTGTAAATCAGAAGCACACTAACTTAGGTCCTATATCACCTACTCTGCTGACTTATCAGCCAGCGCTATCAGCCAGCGGGTATATAGAGTTCAAAACAAACAGATAACGTTAAGCCTGAGCCAAGAACTTCGGGGTAAACTCTCCCACCAAGGCAAACGACAATTTGAGCTCAGCATGAATGGGTTTCCACATTCAAATTTGGCTGTTTGTGTTGGTGCATGCACCGCAACCGCAGTCATCAATACACCGCGATGCATTAAGCACTTGGAAGGAATTGTTTTGTTTCACGGATAAGGCTTTATTTTAAGGTAGACTTGTATACAAGGTGCAACCGCTTGCTTTGATTGGAGCAAATACTGTATATCTCATTCCAAGGCGAGTTTGGACTTGGCAAGTTTGGGTGTAGTGTTCCCATTATTTTAGGCAAGAATTTTAAATGCAGAAACGTAATACGAGTTTAAAAAAAAAAGGTACCGCCATACGGAACGCTACATGTAACATGCTACGGGGCATTGCGTGCATTCACCAAGCGAAAATGTAAACAGACTTAACCGATCCCTACTACTGCGCCCTCCTGAAATCGCAAAGACTCAGTGGAACGGAGCCTGTCTTACCGCATTTTTAGCGGTAACGTCTGGAAAAATACCACCGTGGCGGCAGAGCCAGTCGCAGGCCCAGGGCCAAGCAAACCACCCGTCAAACGACTTGACGTGCCAGCATGCCCGCTTTCCCGGGAGCCGTGGTGGGTGCAGCATGTCCTGGAGACGTTTTAATAATAACGGCGGTGTCGTGGCACATCAGCTATGCGGAGGCACGGTTGCAACTTGCACGCAGCTCATCCAATTGAATGGAGCAGTCTGTTATTTGGCAGAGCAGGTATGAATTCGGGGGTTCCATCCAGGACAGAAGAATGTCGTGGTGCATGAATGTGTTTACCAGCTTGTGCACATTGGGTGTAGCTTATGCAATGAAATGCCAGCATTGCATTGATTTCGTCCACGCATTGAAGCATCAAAGGTATTTGCCGTATCTTGTACGATAATAAATAGAAATGAAATTGAATGTGCATAAATGTATGCACTTTTTCGCACCGTACGTAGCCAACCGTGCTAATCAGGGGAGCGGGGAAGGAAGGCAAAATATCTGTATGGTGTATAGTGTCTAAATGCAACTGCATCTCATGACACTGCACACATCTTAAATTGAAACTTGGAAAATTAAATGCTTTAACGTTTGTAAACTTGTCTGCATGTTAAGCGGAGAGGTTAAGAAGTCGAGCTACTAACAAACTGGTGGAGAGTATGAAGTTGGTTTATTTTGACTAATAATGTGCACTTAAAATAATATGGGGATAATGAGAATAAATAGACAATGAGTTAGAAAAATATGCAAGCTTGTTATCAATTGTTACGGGGTTTGTTTTAATGACGTGACAAAGCTTATCACTGATTGTGAGTTACATCACCACAAAGTTATTGTCAAAATTAAAACATTATGTTGAGTAGCATCAGAGCCATGTTAAGTCAACTCCTTCCACTGTTTTGGATTACTGGTGACAGTGCGCATACCTGGCGAAGTGGCTCCACTCCAGCCACATGCTAATCCCCACCACATTTTCTGTCTACTGCTTTTCGCAAACACAACCACAGGCACCGTCATTTTTTACGCATGACCAATTGTCCTTTTGGGAAAATGTACGCGAGGTTTGCAGCTGTGCATAAGGCAGCGAGTGCAACGTGGGAAAAGGCATACATTTGCCTTATGGTAATACATACCTATGGTAACAACAACAAAAAACAGCCAATACAAAATCTGCAGGAATAGTAACCAATTAATTCTAGATTTGAAGCTTTCGTGACTGCAAAGATTCATATTCTTAGGTTTACGTGACTTAACCGAAAAAACCTAAGAATATGAATAGTAACCAAGTTACACAATACCTAATACTTTGCAGATTGTAAGATGTATTACAGGGCTTTTTAAAACGATAGAGGCGAAGTTGCCCGGATGACGACACACAGCTTCAAGTGCCGTGATCTCATCGTGGAAAGTACAAGCATAAATTGAATACTTTGGAAAATGCGCCATGGATGTTTTCAATCCACACTTAGGCTTTCGCGAGCAATATTCTCCATAACAGAGGTTGTTGGGTTAGATTGCGTAAATATAAATGTGTCGTTCAATCCGCCACCAACCGACAAAGCCATTTAGTAAAGTTTGTCACGTAATCAAAACATGACAATTAGTTACTGTTGAGGCTGTGGCCTGATGAGGCTGGTTGTAATTACTAACAAAACGTCTTACTCGAATTGTAAATGTTGTGGGTTTACTCTCCAACACACCAGTGTGCTGTATGAGTAACGAATTGGCACTTTCTATTTGCGTGACAAACCTCACTAATTGGCTGTGTCGGGTGGTGGTGGTGGATTTAATGGCACATTTATATTTACACGATATAGCCTAAAAAAAAAAACCTCTATTATGAATCCACACAGGCCGAGCGATCGATGGGCATTATGAAATGCAACGAGTGCCCGTTACATTTCATAGAGTGCACAAGAGACGCTTGCAAGTCGTGTTTGTTTGGCAAGAGCTATAAACTCAGCCACACACCTGCCTGCAGGCTGTCAGAGTAGTGAGGAATGTCACTTCTGGTATTTGTTGTCACTTATTTTGCGTTCTCAATGCGGTGGCTGCAGGGAAATTATACACTGTATAAAGTAGGGTCCCAGTGGTTGTTTAAAGCTGTGGTGGTGAGATGTTAACTATCTCGCCTGGTATACAGGAGGTCATAGGTTCAATTCCATCCCTGACACCTGTATATTTGGACTTTGCAAGTTCTCCCCATGGTCGCGTGGATTTTTCTCCGTGTCCTCCGGTTTTTCCTCCACATTTTGAAGCATGCGTGGTGTAGAGTATTTGGCTGCTATAAATTTCCACGCGATAAGCCACTTCGTTGAGCTATCATTTGTGGCCAGGTCACTTCTGAATAAGAACTATATAGCTCAGTGGGCCTTACTTGATTAAATAAAAAATTGTTTAGTTAGTTTTAGCAACTGGACAGGCTTAATTCAGGACTTTACGCCATTATGCATTTGTAAATCTTCGTATAAGTAGATTCCTGCATGTCCTCTACAAAGTAACCTGCATCTTTTTTCTGCTTTAAAATATTTCCCATTGCAATCTGCTATATGCACGTAAAGCATTTCATATGTTGTACAGAATAAGCATATGTGTACAAACACTGCTTCCAAGACCCCTAAAATGTTGAGGCAAAAACTATTTTAAAAAATATCTGTAACACACAACAGGTGTTCCTGCAATCTGTAAAAAAAATCCCCATAAAACCTAGGTAAGCGATTTAAATCATGAAAATGTGTGCATTTTTCAAGTAATAAAAGCAAAGATCAATGGGCACTTTCTTTCTCGCAATTGCTCAAAAAATAACACTTAAAAGTCCAAGAATGTAATAAAAACAAACATTAAAAAGCACACAATTAAAGTGCGATGTTTTATTTTTAAATGCCACTGGCGCAGCAATAGGGCAGTGATAAGCATGCTGGACTATGAACCCGACGACAAAAGTGCGACCCTCACTGCGGATAATTTGTTCTATCTAAACTAAACTAAAATCATTGGCAATATCTGAAAGAGTCCTTCTGAGGCAACCTCCTGCACAAACCCCCACTGACCTGTGTGGTGATGTATGGTCCCACACTGGCCATTGTGGTGATGTATGGTCAAACAACACCCACCACTGCAAGGAATGGGGAGGCCTTCTACCAAAGCGCATTAAAACGACTTTATTTAATTATTTTCAATAACCTACACGTGGACACAAGTCCAATCGAATGATTGATGTAAAAAAGACTGGGCTTCAAGGTTAGTGTGATGGGGGTATCTTTTAGAATCTTGTTCTAAAATATAGCCGACCGACACCCCATCCGTGCATGGGCAAAGATATGCGTATGGCTTAAGTATTACGAATGGTATAGGTGGCGTTAGGAAGTGGTAAGGGTGTAATGGTCAGAATGGAGTGGTAAGTATGGTGTGATGTGCGTGTTACAGATGAAACGGTGAAGCTGCTCAATTACCCTCCTAGGTGTGATGACCTCCCTCTCTCCTCTGGCCGAAGACCCCCCTCTCACCCGTAGTTTCCCGGGACCTTTCTGCTGCTTTAAAAACACAAAAGACGACTCTACCTTCCTTGAATCAATCCATCCATCACCATGTAGGCATCTCTAGCACACACTTTCTCTCCTGGTTCCACTCTTACCTCTCACACAGCACCTTCTGTTTCCATACTTGGACTGCCTTCCTCTCAGAAACCCATTCTTTGGTGTCTCTAGAGGCTTCATCCTTGCCCTCCTGCTTTTCTCAAGGCATCTTCTCCCTTTTGGGCAAAATCATCGCTAATATTTACGCTGAGCACCACTTCTATGCATTAAAAAAAGATAAAATGAACCCAACCTCACTGTCCACTCTGATACCCTGATTTGACATAGTCTCATCTGACCTTTTACACTTCCTCTGCCCCAACTTCTCGTTCTGTGACAGTAATACTGTAATTGCACGCTTCCTTTCCCAAGCATTCCCAGGCTCCACTCTTATGTGCGGCATCTTGAGATGCGATTGCATGAAGACGCTTTGTGAATACAAATGGTTATCGTTCCACGGTGGCGAGATGTAAACTATATCGCCAGGTATGGAGGAGGTCGTGGGTTCGGTTCGATCCCGACCCTGATGCCTGTATATTTGGAGTTTGGATGTTCACCCCATGGTCACGTGGATTTTTCTCCGGGTCCTCCGGTTTTTCCCTCTACATTTATAAACATGCGTTTAAGAGTAATTTGGCTCCTATAAATTTCCATGTGATAAGCCACTTCGTTGAGCTTTCATTTGTGGCCAGCTCACTTCTGAAAAAGAGCTACATAGCTCAGTGAGCCTTACCTGGTAAAACAAAATAGTGTATACACTTAGTCGTGGAGATGGAGTTGTACAGACGGGGCGATACAAATGAGACGTGTACAGGTCGTTTGTGGTGTGGGTGGGGATGTGGTGTGCTTGGAATTGATGGTGCAGTTTGGTGAATTGAGAGTGCATGAGGTGCACATGCCAAGCAGTACGCGGACACACATAAGCACTCACAGGGGCTCTGCCAAGGGCCTCCACTCCACGTAGTGGTACATCTTCTGCACGCCCATCAGCCACTCCATGAGCACCGCAGTCGTGTTGTCGATGTTGTGGTCCGTAGCCACCCTTGGGGACACAAACAAGGTTTGGGATTTTCATGTGGAGGACATTTAGGGAGACCGGAAGAGACAGAGACCGTGATGGTGACAAGTGACAAAAAGCAGAGGGCCTCTCCATCTGATGCTTGGAGAAAGGAAACCACAAAATATGAACACAGAGACCAGGGGACATGTGAGAGTCATAAGTATGTAATAAGAAAAGTGACACAGACGTATAATCTATCTCGCTGGCTCTGACCACAGAGGCCATGGTGTATGGGGTGTGTATGTTGTATGCATGGTAAGTGTGTGTGTGTATATGATATGTGTACGTGAATAGATGTGGTGCGAATGGTGCACATATGGTATGCATGGCCTTTGCATGGGAGGTATGGGGCGTGTGTGTATATATGATTTGGGTGTTCAATATTGTGTGATGTGCAATTTGGATATGCTCTCTCACCAGAGCACCATGCGGTCCTTGGGGAAGTTTACCCTGTGTATATATGGGATGTGTGGTGTGTATATGGGATGCGTGGTGTGTATATATGGGATGTGTGGTGTGTATATGGGATTCGTGGTGTGTATATATGGGATGTGTGTGTGTATATATGGGATGTGTGGTGTGTGTATATGGGATGTGTGGTCTGTATATATGGGATGCGTGGTGTGTATATGGGATGTGTGGTGTGTATATATGGGATGTGTGGTGTGTATATGGCAGTGTTCTTCATGGACTGTGGCCCCTGACGTGCTGCATCCCACAACACACGTCCCCCCCCCCCCCATCATCATCAGCGTGCTGCTGTCAAACCCCAATGATTTCAAACGTGTGGCGGCCCTCACAGCGATGATGTCTTATCGGTGAAAGTGGGCCCCCCTCTGAAAATAATCGAACAGCATTGATACATGGTATGTATGGAATAGTGCGCGTGTGTGTGTGTATATACAGTGTTGTGTGATCGGCTCACTCCAGAACGCCATGCGGTCCTTGGGGTACCCTCGGCCGTGTACATATAGGATGCATGGCGTGTGTGTGTGTGTACGTTATGCGTTGTGTGTGTTCATGGTGTGTATGTATACATGGTGTGTGTGTGTATACATGGTGTGTGTGTATACATGGTGTGTGTGTATGCATGGTGTGTGTGTGTATGCATGGTGTGTGTGTGTGTACGTGGTGTGTGTGTGTATGCATGGTGTGTGTGTGTATGCAGGGTGTGTGTGTGTATGCAGGGTGTGTGTGTGTATGCATGGTGTGTGTGTGTATGCATGGTGTGTGTGTGTATGCATGGTGTGTGTGTGTATGCAGGGTGTGTGTGTGTATGCATGGTGTGTGTGTGTATGCATGGTGTGTGTGTATGCATGGTGTGTGTGTGTATGCATGGTGTGTGTGTGTATGCATGGTGCGTGTATGTATACATGGTGTGTGTGTATGTATACATGGTGTGTGTGTGCATGGTGTGTGTATGTATTACACGGTGCGTGTATGTGTGTACATGGTGTGTGTGTGTGTATACATGTGTGTGTGTATGTGTTCATGTGTGTGTGTGTATGTGTCCATGATGTATATGTGTACATGGTGTGTGTGTGTGTGTCCATGGTGTGTGTGTATGTGTCCATGGTGTATATGTGTACACGGTGTGTGTGTCATGGTGTGTATGTGTCCATGGTGTGTGTATGTATGGAGTGTATGTGTGTGTTCATGGTGTGTGTGTGTGTTCATGGTGTGTGTGTGTGTCATGGTGTGTGTGTGTGTGTGTCATGGTGTGTGTGTGTCCATGGTGTGTGTGTCATGGTGTGTATGTGTCCATGGTGTGTGTGTGTATGGAGTGTATGTGTGTCCATGGTGTGTGTGTGTCATGGTGTGTATGTGTCCATGGTGTGTGTGTGTGTCATGGTGTGTGTGTTCATGGTGTGTGTATGTATGCATGGTGTGTGTACATGGTGTGTATTTGTGTCATGGTGTGTATGTATCAATGGTGTGTATGTATACACGTTGTGTATATACGTCTACAACACGGTACACGTGATAGCCGTGCGTTCTCTCACCAGAGCGCCATGCGGTCCTTGGGGTAGTCGAGCCTCTCCAGGCAGCCCAGGGCGTAGGGGAGGCTCCGCGCGGCGTTCCTGGCGAGCAGCGCCAGCAGCACCGTCGGCGCACGGGGCCCCGACTCCGACACGCTCCTCTCCTCAGAGAAGTAGGCGCCCGCACGGCCACGCAGCAGCACAAGCAGCAGCAGCAGGGGGAGCAAGCAGCGACACATGATAAACAGCAGCAACAACAACAACAACAGCAGCAGCAACAGCAGCAGCAACGTGAAGAGCTCACGGGAGCGCAAGGAGTCCCCGGCCGACGCGGGTGCCACGAATGCCACTGAGGAATCGAATCGATGGTGCTCGTAAATCGTCGCGCGCGATTCCAAACAAGCCACTCCCCCCCCCCCTTCCCCTCCCCCGTGTGCTGTGTTGAATGCGGTGGGAGGGTTAGACGCTGAATCGATTCCGGCGACACTGGGTGGATTTCGGTTTAGGAGGAATCGATTCCCGTGGAGGATGTTTCGATTGCGTGCGCTTTGCGTGTATTGGATGGAGTCTCAATTGAGTGTCAATACAAATTGACTAGCCTCCCTCTTTCTGCCTCTATGTTGATAAAATGCACCAACACTCGGGCTGGTGTTTAGGCCACCAAATATTTATTGGTGTATTATTAGACAGCGGTTTTTTAGAGTTTGTCGTCAATTTTAATTAATCGATTCTGACCCAAGTTCTTTTTTTAATGTTAGAGTTAAGGGTGTAACTTTTTTTATTCAGTAAAGCCTAATCCTAATATGGCTTCAATTTTAAATAGAAAAAAACAATAGTTTAGTTAAGCAACCAAAAACGGCTAAATGCCCTTTAAATATATAAAAAAAAAACACAATTACCTAAAGTAAACAACGCGTCCTTCCACATATTTATTTGTCTTTACACGTTACAAAATGTTTTACAAACCAAGACCGGGTTCGGCTATTGCCCAGTGAAACAAGATTATATTCCTTTTAAGGCAATGTTATTGACGGATGTATTGCGTCTGTATGACACAGCTTTTCTCGACACCAGGTAATAAATACTGTCCTCTAATGCTGCCAGTTCATGTCTCCAGCGTGCTTACGTTGTCCAATCCACACGGGTTGCTTTGCATTTAAACTTTGCAATAAATCATTATCAGACGATAACCGCCCTCCTTCCCCATCGATGTCCAGCCACAGACAACGCATTCCATCAGCCACACGGGAGTGCATCATTTCAGCAGTCCCTGGAATCAACGCAGCAAACCATAAGGCCGGTTTCGACTTTCAGCGTCTCATCAGCAAGCCAGGTTTTATACTCTTAGGTTTTTTTTCGGTAAAGTCACGTAGGTAAAAATAAAAAATAATAAAACTAATAGGAATAATAATACAAATAAAATAATAAATCACGACGTTTCGGAGGCAACACAAGCTTCCTTCATCAGGTGTAAAAAAAGGCACAGCCAAATAACTGTAATAGCTTCAAATCTAGAATTAAAGCCAGGCTTTCTTGAATCATATGCTGGGTGACTTTTAAAGGCGACGGGCGAGTGTGCAGGCCTTCATCTCGCGGCGCATAGACCATGGATAAAGATGATGGCAAACTCATTAAGGGACCGTCCATAAATGACGTCACGCACCTAGGGGAGGGGAGGGGGTCAGACATTTGTGACGATGTGTGACGAGGAGGGATGGGGGGGGGGGTAGAAATGTGACGTCACACCAAAATACGCAACTTTAAATAAATATAGACAACACGTTCTACTAATATTCTTAGGTTTTTTCGGTAAAGTCACATAGGTAAAAACATTAAAAAGTAAAATAAAAATAAAAATCACGACGTTTCGGAGGCAACACAAGCTTCCGTCTTCAGGTGGTACCGTCACAGACACGACAGCTGTATCAAGTAAATGAGAGATTTCAGGAGCTACCACTCCGTTTATATAATAGTTGGAGAAGGTGGTGGGGCAAGGGCCGCATACTTATTATTAATATGGTAAGGTAAGGCTTAAGACTAAGAATAAAATGCATAACAAATCTAGAACGTTCTACTAAATTAAATATACGTTTTAATGTTTTCTCCTACAACATCAGAGTACAGCGCCACATTAAATACGCACTACAATGACAATAGTTTAAAGCGATTTGAAGCATGTTTTATTTTCAAAATGGAAATATGGTTTGGGGGGGGGGCAGAGCTTTGTGACGTCATATTTGAGGGGGGGGTCTGACTTTTTGTGACGCCGTGTGACAAAGGGGGAGGGGGGTCAAAATCGTCTAAAATCGCGCGACGTCATTTATGGACGGCCCCCGAAGGAAATATAATGTCAAGCAGTCGAGTTAATTGATGAACCAGCACTGATGTCACTCCCTGAGCGCTCCCGTGAACTTCACTCATTGACTCATTGATTCCTCCGCCCATGTTGAGGACGAAGAGATGGGTTGACCAGACTTACTCTTTGGTTCTTTCGGTAAAGTCACGTATCAAGAGAAAATAATAAATTCAATACTAGCATACGACGTTTCGATTGCAACACAAGCAATCATCATCAGGTATAAATGAAATAGAAACACAAATCTAGTATACTTAGAAATGTAATGTAATACAACAGAGAGTCGGATAACATAACAGTCAACACCCTACCTGGTTGATTACGTTCTTCCTGAGAATGCTAGCATTCTAGGGTGTTGACTGTTATGTTATCCGACTCTCTGTTGTATTACATTACATTTCTAAGTATACTAGATTTGTGTTTTTATTTCATTCATACCTGATGATGATTGCTTGTGTTGCAATCGAAACGTCGTATGCTAGTATTTAATTTATTATTTTCTCTTGATACGTGACTTTACCGAAAGAACCAAAGAGTAATTCCTGCAGTCACGAAAGCTCCAAATTAAGTATCGACCAGACTTGTTTAGTCTCAGCTAGGGCTGAACGATTTGGGGAAAATATCTACCTTTAATTGCGATTGAACTAACAGATATTGCGATTGCGATTTGATTTGCGATTAAAATGTTTGAAGTCAAGCTTCAGTTCAATATTCACTGTGTAATAGATTTCAAGCATGTGATGGAGCATTACCACATGATACCATCAAAATATGAACTGCTCTATATATTCATATGTAAAGATGACAACTTAAAACATATGAATTGCTTCCAACATGCATTTATTAAAATGTTTTAATTGAAATAAAACAATCAAACATAGAACAATTGTTAAGTTAAATAAAGTAATAATACAAAATAAAACCGTTCCAATAAGAAACTAATAGGACTTTTCAAATCGCAGCCTTTGCGATTTGCTAATCGCATTGTTTAAAATTGCGATATCGATTTGAAATCGATTAATCGTTCATCCTTCGTCTCAACCACACTGAACGAACGCCCCCAGTTCACAGCACGCGTCTTTCTGCTCCACTGTAGAATTTCCCTCCCCATCGCCGTCTCTCTCCTCCCAATCTCAATTAAAGAAACTGTGTTTACAACTCTTACTACAAATTTGATGGTGCTGTTTGTTTCTGGCCGCGTGACGTTCTGGGCCTTTTCTCAGCACCTGTGTTTTAAGATAACGACACGGATGTATCGGGGAGAATCGATGAGCGCTTCAAACGTCATCAGATTCCTCCTCGATAAATAAATATTCTGACATTTATTTATTATTTGGTACTTGCTTATATTTTTTCTATCTTGATGTTATATCGGATTTTGTAAAATTGTTTATGTAACTCGGTGACCCGCCCCGACTGGACATCTGTGCAAACGAGCATTATAGCTCATCGGATTCCTCCTCCAGTATAAACATTCCGATTCTCTGTATCCGCCGTGGAGTGGAATCCCCCATACGGGGAACGCTGTGGTTGCAGGACTCGCCCCCCACCCACACACACACTGGGATATACAGGGACCGTCCATAAATGACGTCACGCGATTTTGGACGATTTTTGACCCCCCCCCCCCTCGTCACACGGCGTCACAAAAAGTCAGACCCCCCCCCCCCTCAAATATGACGTCACAAAGCTCTGCCCCCCCCCCCCAAAATAAAACATGCTTCAAATCGTTTTAAACTATTGTCATTGTAGTGCGTATTTAATGTGGCGCTGCACTCTGATGTTGTAGGAGTGTTGTTATATAAATTTGCGTTGTTATAACAATTCTATATTATTTTTCGATTTAAAGCTTGTTGTGGCCGAAAGATCGTGAGAATTTTATTTTATTGTTTTATTTTATTATTTTATTATTTCCCTTCTACGTGACTTTACCGAAAGAACCAAGAAGATGAATTCTATATCCATTTAAAGTTGCACATTTTGATGTGACGTCACATTTCTCAACCCCCCCCCACCTGGTCACACATCGTCACAAATATCTGACCCCCCCCCCCTCCTAGGTGCGTGACGTCATTTATGATCGGCCCCACACGATGGTGCAGCAGGCGCATCTACCAGTCGTCTCGGTCAGCCAACCCCTGGGCACCTGCTGGGTCTGTCCCGAGACCTCCCTGCCAGCAGCGAGCCTTTGACACTCCACGTGGCCTCTAAGTGCACCTGGCCTGGCACCAGGCGCCCTGGTGACGTCACAGTCACTAAGTGGCGTCACGAGACTTTCGTGACCCACTCTAGCCACTAGAGGCCGCTGCATTAAAATTAAAATAAACCCTCGCACTCGAATTACAGGATTAGAATTGCCAAGTTTATTTCGGTTATGTTATTTGTAACGCGACCGGAGAGAGAAGATTTTTCTGTTTTTTCCTGGATTTTCCTGTTGTGCGTAGTCACTTTAAGATGTTATTTGTTCATGTTCTTGCTTGTTGCGGTTGCACCCGAGTCAATAGCCGCATGGCTCACAGAGCTTAACAGAATAAATGAAACTGAAAAGCGATGACGTCACGCCGCCCCTCTTTCCGCAGTGACCTCATTGGTAACTGAGCCGCGCGCGTGACGTCATCGCGCCACCGTCGTGTGCGCTATGACGTCATTTTCCTTTCGCGGCGTGTGACGTCACGCCTTCGCGAGGCATGCGCGTGTCTCCGTAACCCGCAGGGTGATCAGAATAGTGATTGTAGCAAAGTAGTCGTAGCGTACTTCATATATATTTTAAAATAGAACGTTGAATTTCATAGAACTGTTATAGCGCTTGGGAAACGTAACTTGTAGCACTGGCGCGAGTGTGGAGCCCCCAGGGGGCCGTGGTTGCAGCCTGACGGAGCGAGTGGGTAGCGAGCGGGCCCCCCAAACCACCAGGCCACCAACAACAACCACCAGGCCACCAACAACAACCACCAAGCCACCAACAACAACCACTAACAACAACCACTAGGCCACCAACAACAACCACCAGGCCACCAACAACAACCACCAGGCCACCAACAACAACCACCAAGCCAACAACAACCACCAGGCCACCAACAACAACCACCAACAACAACCACCAGGCCAACAACAACAACCACCACCAACAGCCACCAACAACCACCAACAACAACCACCAAACCACCAACAACAACCACCAAGCCAACAACAACAACCACCACCAACAACCAACAAGCCACCAACAACAACCACCACCAACAACCAACAAGCCATCAACAACAACCACCAACAACAACCACCAAGCCACCAACAATAACCACCAACAACAACCACCAAGCCACCAACAACAACCACCAGGCCACCAACAACAACCACCAAACCACCAACAACAACCACCCAACCACCAACAACAACCACCAGACCACGAACAACCACCAAGCCACCAGACCAACAACAACAACCACCAGACCACCAACAACCACCAAGCCACCAGACCAACAACAACAACCCCCACACCAACAACAACCACCTAGCCACCTACAACAACCACCAGGCCACCAACAACAACCACCAAGCCACCAGACCACCAACAACAACCACTAGGCCACCAACAACAACAACCACCAAGCCACCAACAACAACCACCAGGCCACCAACAACAACCACCAAGCCACCACCAACAACCACCCAACCACCAACAACAACCACCAGGCCATCAACAACCACCAAGCCACCAGACCAACAACAACAACCACCAGACCTACAACAACCACCAAGCCACCAGGCCACCAACAACAACCACCCAACCACGCCGACTGGGTTGGAGGTTGGAGGAGACCCATGGTCGTCGCGTGAAACATTCACAACTCTCGAGGACCGCTGCTCTCGCCGTGATGATGTCGGGGAAAGCGACGACGTCTCCGGCTGCCGGCGGCACTTTGTTCATCCTGAACCATCCCAAGGTGCGCCCGGTTCACTTGTGCAGAGGATAAGAACGGGGTCCGAGTGTATTCCAAGTTTATTGCTGTAATACGGGGGGATGTTGTTGTTGTTGGTCACATCGCGTAGATATCTAAATGTGTCGTTAAACCCGCCACCACCCGACACAGCCAACTAGTAAGGTTTGTCACGTAAACAGAACGTGGCCAATTCGTTACTGGTACAGCACTACACCCGGTGTGTTGGAGAGCCAAGCCAAGGCATTTACAATCTGAGTGCGACGTTTTTGTGGATGATATTGGTCGCGAAAGCCTGCGTGTTAAACTGAATTTCTGTAGTTGTGATAGGTTGAGTGATTACCTGAAGTGACTCAATGGTTGAATGATTAGATGTGAATGAATGAATGGAACGAGTGATTGCAATTTAATGAATGAGTTGAATGATTAGAAGTGAATGAATGGATCGAGTGATTGCAATTTAATGAATGAGTTGAATGATTAGAAGTGAATGAATGGATCGAGTGATTGCAATTTAATGAATGGGTTGAATGATTAAAAGTGACTGGTGTGGCTGTCATGAACAATTGAGTGACATAATGAATGGGGCGAGTGGCTGGAATTGACTTAATAAATTGGTTGATTGCATGATAGATGAATGGGAGTCGTTAAAAGTGATTGGGTTGAGTGTAAGTAAATGAATGGGTTGAAATGCCACTGTAATAGTTGCATTGATAGATGAGAACTTACAGAATGAGTGGGTTATTTTTTCACAATATTCTTATTGATTATAAGTGAATGGATGAATAGGTTCACTAATCCAAAGTGAGCAGACTAGTGTTTCACAATAAGTGAATGACCTCAGTGATTGACAGCGATTGAAATGTTGAGTCACGAGTAGTGAAAGAGATATTATAAATTAATGAACAAGTTTTGGATTAATAAATGGAATGCATTCATTGGTGGACTTTGATGGGTTTTCATGAGCCGTGATAGATGGAAAGCCGGTTTGCATACCTGTCACCCCCCTTATCAGTGGCTACCTTATAACAGACCAATTCAGAACCTTATAAATCTCAACGTTCATCCTACAAGGTCCCATCACAAGGGAGAAACACAAACACATAGACAAACAAAAATCCCTGTATTGAAACGGCTGTATGGACCTGTACAAGAATATGGGTAAACCGTATGGGTTCACAGGTATGGGTTGGTTCCTACTTTGTGAAGCTAACCAGCTATAAATGGAGCACACTACCACTGCAGGTGATACATTCATGTCAACTTCATTGCCTCTTTGTGTCTGCAGTACAAGGAGCTCCTGGACTTGAAGGTGGCCGAGGAGAGCGAGGCATTCACGACGCTTGTCGTTTACCTTGACCTACTGGAAGGTGACTCAAGCAACCAGATAGTGCAGAATACGTGTGATTAGTGCATTAGCAGTGGTGAAAAGGCACAACAAACAAAAGACTCAAAAACACATTCGTCAATAACACAGCCCGAAACAGGAACATTATAGAATGGGCAACATTTCGGGTAATGGCCATCCTTCATAGCGGAGAGATGGAGAGGCCAGATAGTTTGAACAGTCGTCGGAGACTGCACAATACAAAACATGTGGCCCTGTTAAATATGTTTGAAGAATGTTTCTAGATGAACATTCTAGGGACAAAAGTTGTTGTTGCCCTTTGCATCATCTTGGGATTCGTTCGCATGTAGATAAATTATATTGCCTTGTTGAGTTCCAATATTTATCTGGGTTGACACAGCCCATCACCCCCTTTTGGCTGATAATTTGAGCGCCGCTAAATGAGCATTACTTGGTAGGAAGTCAGCAGTGATTCTTACATGGATAGCCTGGCCCCTGCCTTGGAAATGATGTTCATCAGAGGGATTGCCTCGTAAAGATGAGCACTGCTTGTTGATGACCTAATCGCCCCGCATGTGCCCTATCTCATCAGATCTCAGAAGCATGTCGACAAATTATATTGCCTTGTCGAGTTCCAATATTTATCTGGGTTGACGCAGCCCGTCACCCCCTTTTGGCTGATAATTTGAGCGCCGCCGAATGAGCATTACTTGGTAGGAAGTCAGCAGTGATTCTTACATGGATAGCCTGGCCCCTGCCTTGGAAATGATGACTTTCCACAAAAAATGTTCATCAGAGGGATTGCCTCGTAAAGATGAGCACTGCTTGTTGATGACCTAATCGCCCCGCATGTGCCCTATCTCATCAGATCTCAGAAGCTAAGCAAAATTGAGGCTGGTTAGTACTTGGATAGGAGACGATTGGGGGTTATAAGATGTGGTACCAGGGGCACATATTTGATTGTTATCCCCTCGTATATATGAGGGGGGTTCCCCATACTCCTAAATCCTCCCTTATGCCAAACACTCATCGTAGGTATTTATTAAACATCTCAATGTAGGAACTTCTTAGTAAGAAGTATTCAGACTGGGTGAGAACTTCCTCAGTAAAGGGCATCATTATTATTATTGTAGTCAATTCATCACACTTTTCAGTACACTGAGGACACCTACTTCATGAGGCCAGGATATATGCATGTTGAACTTCTTTCGCACTGTACGTAGCCAACCGTGCTAATCAGAGGTGCGGGGAAAGGACAACAAACTAAACGCAAAAATCAGTTCTCAAGAAATTATTTTCAATCTAGATGATTTTATAGTGCATAGCTCCAGTGGATTCCTAACATCGGAAAGGAAGACCATTCCAGACGGCCGCAGAAACGAATCTGAAAGCACGTGATCCCCCAAGCCGCTGCTGCGATGATGACCGGAGTTTGCATGATGGTTTACACCCCTTGAGACGCGTGGTGAGGTTGACAGCTACAGGCGGTCAGGATGAGAGACGTGGTGAGGTTGACGGCTACAGGCGGTCAGGATGAGAGACGTGGTGAGGTTGACAGCTACGGGCGGTCAGGATGAGAGATGTGAGGTTGACAGCTACGGGGGGCCAGGATGAGACGTGGTGAGGTTGACAGCTACAGGCGGTCAGGATGAGAGATGTGAGGTTGACAGCTACGGGGGGCCAGGATGAGACGTGGTGAGGTTGACAGCTACAGGCGGTCAGGATGAGAGACGTGGTGAGATTTACAGCTACGGGCGGCACGTGTTTGCAGTGCGCTGCTGGACGGAGGTGAACACGGCGGCGGCGCGCGAGCTCGGCCTGCTGTACGTGACGGGCCGTCCGGCGGCGGGCAAGCCGCTCACCGTGGTGCTGCCCGTGTCCTCCCAGGCCTCCGTCAGCCACTGCCGGCAAGTCACAGACGCCTAACACACAAAATTCATCCACGCTCGAGGTGAGGCATATGACACCAATTCATGGACACTGCTGCCATTGCAGGATTCACGAGATCATGAAGCACACGTGCGTGGGCACGGAGCCGGCGAGCGTCACGCTGGCCATCGCGGAGAGCGATTCCACGGTGGTTTACTACCGGCTGACGGACGGCCTCGTCACGCCCGAGCCCCCCGACTGCGTCGAGGACATGGACAACAAGCAGTGGAGGCGGCGCCGACGACGCCAGCAGCGCTGAAGCACAAGCCCAGAGCGTCGCCCTCGCACGGACAACGCCGCGGTGGGGGGGGACGGATCCGCGCAACCCGGTGTGACGCACGCAGCGACAGATTTGGCGTCGACGTGGGTGCGGCGCTGGCGGGTCAGAACAGTCGCCAGATCTGAGCGACCCGCATCCAAGGAGGCGCAACGGAAGCGCAGCGCTTTGGGAGAGAGTGTACGTGACGGCAAGCAAAATTGGACCTGCATTAAAGAGGCGTAAAACCTGCACGTGTCACCGCACCCAGGGATGAGCCATGCTTCGGGATTTTAAGAGCAGAACAGAGGCAGGGGGTTTCACTGTGGTCTCGCGGATACTGAGGAGGCAAGGGTAAATAATAGACTCGTAATGATTCAACGATTGAAATCAGTTTATTATGCTCGCGATGCAGTCAAATGGTGCATTGAGGAATCGACTATGATTTGTAAGCATGATGCTAATGTACTTTTAGGTTCGAAGAAATGGAACATAAACGATGCAAAACATGCAAGAAATACGGTGCAAATGAGACATTGCTAACAGGTCAAATAAAGGAATCAATTCGTGATCCCACATTTTGAGGGCTCAGTCTCCAGGAGGGGAAGTGAATCGTTGGATGCCCAGTAAATTGCACTGACCGGCCCACTATTGCTTTTAAATTCTGCTGATAACCTGTTACGTTTGAATACACTGCCACATCAATTATTCCCCAAAAAACTACTTCCTAGAGAATACTGAACATGAAATTGTTGATTATCAATTTTTCAATTCGGTTACGCAGTTTAGCTATGTTGGGCATTTTGTTTTACGCAACTGTATAACTGTATTCAACTTTCATTTTCTAATTGTTTCATGTTTAAGTACTGAAGATGCTTGACAAATGTTTACGATAAACTCACATCTCTGTTACTCATCGCATTGCCTTCTGTTGACACTAAATGGTGTTGCACTTTAGACGGTATTTGTGAAGATAGAAGTAACAAGCTGGGAAGATAGTTATTTAAAGGAGCTTAATGCATGTGTAGTGTCACAACTCCGGAGGCTTGTCTTGGAGGCACACTTATTTATTGTAACACACCGTACGGGAACTCAACGTATACTAGCGTGCCTGATACCAGTCACGCTCTCGTATAACACACCGTACAGAAACACTACTTATGGCTAGCGTCCCTCACACTGGTCATGCTCTCGAGCCCTCCGGCTATCCATTACCGAGGGGAGGATATCTCTCTCCCGAGCCCTCCGGCTAACAATTACCTAGGGGAGGCTATCTGACCCGACCTAGCCAGGGTGCGGGTCCCAACCACTGGCCGCTCAGACCCGGCCCTGATAAGGACGTCGGGTCAGGGGCTCCAGGGTCCTAGCTGAGCTGCTCCGTCTTCTGTCTTCGCTCCGTCTTCGTACTGGCTCCCGAACCTCTAGAGGTCCGTTATCAACGCTTTTCCACCGAGGGGCGGGGCTGTGTGGGATCCAAAACCACCCCGCAGCCCCCACCCGTTGGGAGGGGCTGTGTGGGATCCTGGGACATCCCACAGCCCCTCCTGCTCTGGGACTCGGGATACTGCAACTGCCCCTGCAGGTACAGTGAGGGAAACAAGTATTTGATCCCCTCTCAATCAGAAAGATTTCTGGCACCCAGGTGTCTTTTATACAGGTAACGAGCTGAGATTAGGAGCACTCCCTTTAAGAGTGTGCTCCTAATCTCAACTCGTTACCTGTATAAAAGACACCTGGGAGCCAGAAATCTTTCTGATTGAGAGGGGGTCAAATACTTATTTCCGTCATTAAAATGCAAATCAATTTATAACATTTTTGACATGCGTTTTTGGATTTTGTTGTTATTCTGTCTCTGTTCAAATGAACCTACCATTAAAATTATAGACTGATCGTTTCTTTGTCAGTGGGCAAACGTACAAAATCAGCAGGGGATCAAATACTTTTTCCCTCACTGTAAGTGTCTGCAGTCCCTCCCCGTTGCCCCACATAGCCCATTTATACCCCTACATGTGCATATTCACTATGCTTGCGGGGCAGAATAACATTACTTTTAAGACTAAGAATTGTTTGCTTGAAAGTGTCTTGTTGCCAATCGTGTCCAAAAACTATTGTAAATCTGGGCTTTTTGTATTGGCAAGCTGTGGCGAGTTTAGTAGTGAAAACATGTTACCAAACAGATGGACAGGCATCATTATGCAGGAATGTTAATTCGCAGTTTAATTTCGGTCGATAAAACTATACAGACTCTTGTTAGTATGACAATTGTATAAGTTTCATCACTCTAAACCTTCGCAAATCTTTCACGGCATTGGCAACGCATCACACCGAGATTTGGGAGTCCCCGGGTGTTTGGCAACATCTCAGCTGTGATTGTATCGATTTGAATGCCTCTGTAATCCACTTGCCAAAGCGCCTGCACATGGCGAGTGTACGTGACCTGTGGTGCAATCCATACCAAACTCTTTGGTTCTTTCGGTAAAGTCACGTAGGTATAAAATCAAATAAATCACGACGTTTCGGGCGCAACACAAGCGTCCATCATCAGGTGGGAAAGCATTGTCTGCTGCTGAGGCAGACTGTTTTAAAAGGTTTGAAATGGGTGTACATCAAGGGTCATAAAGAAGTGGCCGGGGCTAGTGATGTTCATGTGACAAATTAGCATGATGTTAATGTGAGAAATTTGCATGATGTTAATGTGAGAAATTAGCATGTAACTGTAAGATAGGAGGAGAGCGGCCTCCTGGACGAGGGCATGGAAGTGGCTATGTTAATGTGATGGATTAGCATGTTCTGAGAGCAGCCTCCTATTCCATTTACGATCTTTGAATCGACGTGTGTGGACTACGCGCTATGGCTGTGTCCAACACGTTGAACAGCTTCCCCAGACGTGGATGGCTTGCGAACTAACGTGCATGCTTCCAAATCAACGTGCCAAACATTTTTAAATTCTATGATAGCCGGCACAAAATGCTCTGCAATACTGTAGGGTTTTTTCTCCAGTCTTAGAAATATTATTTTAACGAAGACACGACTTAAATTTCGATTTAAAGCTTTCGTGACTGCAGGGATTCATATTCTTGGTTCTTTCGGTAAAGTCACGTAGAAGATAAATAATTAAATAATACGAATAAAACAATAAAATTCTCACGACGTTTCGATTGCAACACAAGCAATCATCATCAGGTGTGAAAACCACCGCCACTTTTTAAAAATGTTTTTGCTGTGGTTTTCACACCTAATGATGACTGCTTGTGTTGCAATCAAAACGTCGTGAGAATTTTGTTTAATTTTATTATTTCCCTTCTACGTGATTTTACCGAAAGAACCAATAATATGAAGACACGACTTTCAAATATCGCTTGCAAAATGTTGCTTTATATAGTAATAAGGACACTCTTGGTGGTTTGCTGACATCTAGTGGTAAAAAAACGTGTGTGTGTGTGTGTATCGATCAATCTGATGTCAATTCTTGTTTAATAATAGAGGGCACCTTTATGGACACCCAATACTTTTGCTGACCTTACCAATTGGCAGTCTCGCAGCTCCTTCATAACGTACAGTTTAAAAATGACGTTTTTCAATGCAATTTTTTTTCATTTGGTACTGGCGAATTTGAGATTCGAGTGTTTTTTGACAACTTTTGTACATACGATGGGTCCCCTTGCTTAGAGACCACAAGGGCAATGGGTGAGCGTGAGCCCTAACTAACCACAGAAGAAACCCGCAGTGGTTCGGCCGTGTTACATGACACGGCATGGACTGGACCAGCCTGAGAGAGGCTGTTGTACGGTCTGCAGATAGCAGAGGATCTTCTTCTTTCGTATGGATTAATAACAGCAGATTAAAGATGTAATTGTCGATTATTAATTTAAATTTTTTACCTACGTGACTTTACCGAAAAAACCTAAGAATATGAATCCTTGCAGTCACGAAAGCTTCAAATCTAGAATTAATTGTCGATTTGTTATCCATTCAATTGTCTGTACATAAGCAGGGTGGATCTCCTCCATTCCTCCTTTAAAGCCGAGAAGACAGCAGCGAAGTGTTTACGATGTGGTCCATGATTTGCGATTCGTGGACGCACTCGCAGGCCGCCGAATCTTTGATGCGCCATTTGTGGCATCAGGTGGGCGCATCGGCCATGCCCGGTCCCGATTCGGTTGATGGTCGATCACACTGGTCAACAACAACAACAACAAAAAACTTTTTTTCTGGCCTGGATTTTTGCAGCTGTTTTAGACTAATTTCAGGGTGCTGATTCTAAATCTGATCTCAGATTTGCTCTATCAAATCTCATTTTTATGCTATCGGCATACCCCATTTTCATTGATTTTACCCGAAATTAACTCTGTCACTTATGATTGCAAGTTGTTGCGAGTCAGTGACTGCTTTAGTGTTAAAATGTGGTGCTGTATTTTTAGGATAGTGTTTTTATAATATCATTTTATGTAGATATCCACATTTATTTAATATTATTCTTCTGCAGTTTTTATTGAAAATGCAATATTTGATATCTCAAAAACCTGATGCGATAGACAAAAACTGATGCCAGATTTGGAATCAGCAACCCAAAATTACATTAAGCCCGTTGGAATACCTTATGTCAGAAAAAGTGTGTTAAAACCAGTGTCATCGGCGGCGTGGAAGGTTGAATCGCAACTCTCCATGGTTCCCCACGGCCGATTGATTGGCGAGCACAAGTCGCTCAATTCAAGTGTTCACCTGGCTCCACCTTGTGGCCGTATCCGCAACGTCAACACGCAAAGCCCCGATAAGGAGACTTGCGCCCCTGCAGTAGCTGTCATGTCGACAGATTAAATCAGTATCATCCTCTTCTTGGTTCTTTCGGTAAAGTCACGTAGAAAGGAAATAATAAAATAATAAAAATAAAATATAATAAAATAATTCTCACGACGTTTCGGCCACAACGCAAGCAGCCGTCCTCAGGTGAAGAACAGGACGCTGTCTTTCCGACAGACCTGTTCTTCACCTGAGGACGGCTGCTCGCGTTGTGGCCGAAACGTCATGAGAATTATTTTATTATGTTTCATTTTTATTATTTCATTATTTCCCTTCTACGTGACTTTACCGAAAGAACCAAGAAGATGAATCCCTGCAATCACGAAAGCTTTAAATCGAAATTCAGTATCATCCTATTAAAACATAACTTTTCCCTTGAACGCTTTACATTTGACATTATTTATGGACTGTTATTTTGCAGGTCCTGTTTATATCCAGTTTAGTGTATAAGGTGCATGTTTAAACCGCGACAAAAATTACCCATCTAAAAAAACGTTCAAACTAGGCACCGTATCACAATGTTAGCGTTTCAACCGTTGTCGGAATTCAGCAATGGTCATTAAGCCTTACATGGGCTGCCGATATCATCCCATGCAGAATTTATTTCCTCCCATTGGAGCGATTAGAGAACACATTCCACTCGACTCCACGCAACATGCAAATAGAGTGCAGTGATGCTCCATAGCTCACTTATTTATTTGAAGTTCACTTATTGAAACTTTGCAGGCCAACACGAGAAGACAAAAACACATGACCTCAGACCGACAAGGCTGAGGTTGTTTTTTTTATCATTTATATAACATTTTTATGGAGACGCTCTGCATAGTTCAAAAATAACTAAATCTAAACCTGCAGTGAAGAGTAAACCTGCATGACCTGCATAAACAAACATTAATTGAATTGGGGAAGCTTGACTTCTCAAACAAATTAAACACATTCCTGCGGAGGGCTGGTAGAAACGTTGGGTTGCTCGGTCAACGGCGGCGTGGTGTATTTCGCAAAGATGCCCGACTGTGAGGGCGGGCACAAGCCGGCGTGAGTAGGTTAAACGTTGAGTTTTATAAGGGCACCACGGGGTGATCAGCCCCTCCCCACCCAGCCCCACCCCTCACCCAACCCCACCCCTAACCCAGCCCCACCCCTCACCCAGCCCCACCCCTCACCCAGCCCCACCCCTAACCCAGCCCCACCCCTCACCCAGCCCCACCCCTCACCCAGCCCCACCCCTCACCCAGCCCCACCCCTAACCCAGCCCCACCCCTCACCCAGCCCCACCCCTAACCCAGCCCCACCCCTCACCCAGCCCCACCCCTCACCCAGCCCCTCCCCACCCAGCCCCTCCCTGCACTACAGATGGACGGGCACAATAATCCCCCGTGGGCTGGTGGAACCAGTGGGTTCCTACCAGTACAACTCACGATATTCATCCTTGGCCACTTGTTGCACTTCATCTAAGGGTGACAGCAACAAAACCGGGGAGAAACTCAAAGCTGCGACAATAGCAGCTCGCGCTATCGAGCATCACGGAATTAATGTGCGCAAAAAGCCCGTCTCGTTGGACCCGAGCAACACACGGAGCTGAGAACATGAGCCCCAAGCCAACAAAGCAACGCCGCTTCCCATGAATATCTTGGCCACTGTTAAGCATAACAGCGGCGATTGAGTACTAACAGTTCCCGGCCAAGTGGCGTGGTTCGTCACTGTCGATTCGTTGTTCACGACGCTTTTGCCAGAAAATGTCAAAAATGAAGCCAAGGCGGTGCACTGAGATCACTTCTGTGGACAACGCACCTCTGCAAATATTCGTTGTGGCGAAGTGGAATTGTCACGTGATGATACCAGCGGCTGCGTGTCGTGTATATTGATGCACATTCCTGTCGCAAGTAGTTGATCTCACAAACGGTCTCCGCAAACATTCCATTCCATGGACATTGCTCCAATTTGCACTTTTGTGAATGAACTGCATTACTATACCATGGCGGAAATAAAAGTCCAAACGTCAATTCGTACAAAAAATTAACCCGTAAGAACAAAGTTTTTCACTATAAATCCTTTATATGCGTGGCATCGGGGCGGCTAGAGTCCTCTCGTCCACTGGCTTGAGATGGATGCCACCTATGGGTCAGATGATTGTGTGCCACCATTAACCAATTGGTAAATAAATATTTAAAAAATTTCCCTAAACAGTGTAAAATTTTTGAACTTTTTTTTTTCACGAAAATGCATTGAGTCTGTGTGCAAAATGTCAGCTCGATTGGATCACGGGAAGTGGGTTAAAAAACGACCAGAAGATTTGCACGGCCCTAAGCAAGCAAGCAAGCGAGTGAACTTAATATAAAGGATTTTAAAAAAAGCCAGAAATGTCTTGCTCAAATGGGTTGCAGCGGTGCTCATCTTGTTTCCAGCTCCGAGACAGTGTTGACAATGTCATTCCTATGCTGTGGATGAGTCTCTATAACCAGTGGCGGCTCATGCAAAATCTCTCAGGGGGGGCAAATGTCTGGATGATTTATAAGGATAAGGTCCACCCATGCAAAGGATAAATTAACAGCTTAAGCATGTAAAGGCAACTTCACTTCTTTAATATTAATGAAAAATAAAGTGACTCTTACAATACATCTTGTTTGTTTCTATACTCACTATTAATACAATCCACTCAAGTTTCTTTTATTAAAGATTCCACTAGGTGGCGACAAATAAAATTGTTGACTGAAACGTGCTTACGTATGATGACGTAAGCACGTTAGTGCGAGCCCTCCCGGAAGCCAGAGAATGCATTGCAGCGCCCCCCGTTCGAAAAAAAACATCTTTGAATGTAAGTCTATGGGAACACTGGGCGATTCTCAGCCGGCGTGAAATCGCCCAAAAAGAGGCGGTACTCCACAGAACGTGACATGACGCTGATTGGACTATATCCAGAGGCACAGTGACGGCTAGCGTGACTGTGGTTGAATGACATTGGTGGTGCGTCGCCCAATCGCCCTAATGAAGAAACCGCCCCTGTCTATAATACAATCACCATCGACTTCCTCAGAGGTACCTATTTTATCGACCCCAAGTGATGAGACAAATTAATCTCCCAATGATGATGTTATATCTTCCGATTGCGAGTCATTTGCTCGCTCTACCGCTGAGCCACCTGGCGGATTGATTTCGCAGCTGATCTCCGTGAGTTATTTTGGCCGTCAACACCACACTTGGAAACATTGGTGAAAGGCTCACTTTCTCATACAACTCTTGCACCAAACTATGGTGCCAATTCCACCTCCTGGCTTTGACATTACTCAAACAAACTGCTGTACCATCAACCCCATCAGAACATCAACAGTGCGACGGTGGAGATTTATCTTCTTGGTTCTTTCGGTAAAGTCACGTAGAAGGAAAATAATAAAAATAAAACATAAAATAATCTAGTAATATATTATTTTATTATGTTTTATTTTTATTATTTTCCTTCTACGTGACTTTACCGAAAATAAAACATAAAATAATCTAAAATAATATAGTAATATATTATTTTATTATGTTTTATTTTTATTATTTGCCTTCTACGTGACTTTAGCGAAAGAACCAAGATGAATCCCTGCAGTCACGAAAGCTTTAAATCGAAATGTGGAGATTTATTTTATACCTACGTGACTTTACCGAAAGAACCAAAGAGTATGGATTCTACGCATTTCCCATGAATATGCTAAATTCCTCTTGATATGCACATTCTTTTTGTTAAGGCGCTCTTCTTGCACCTCCAACCCAGCGTATATATAAGCTCCTAGCTTGGCAGTGCCTCATTCTTCACCTGAAGACGGCTGCTTGCGTTGTAGCCGAAACGTCGTGAGAATTATTTTATTGCTTTATTTTTATTATTTTATTACTTCCCTTCGACGTGACTTTACCGAAAGAACCAAGAAGAAGAGTATGGATTCCTGCAGTCACGAAAGCTTCAAATCAAGATAGGATATATTAATCGCGCATTCCATCAACTGCACCGATCGTTCGTTTCTCAAGTGCCTTTAAACCAGGCGATGCCACTCCGCAGGTGTTATTTGGGTTCCTGTGAGCCACAGTACTGTGGTGTAAAACATTGTGCTTTGGGGCCGTCCATAAATGACGTCACGCGATTTTTGACCCCGCCCCTCACACGGCGTCACAGTCAGACCCCCCTCAAATATGACGTCACAAAGCTCTGCCCCCCACCCCCCAAAAACCATATTTCCATTTTTAAAATAAAACATGCTTCAAATCGCTTTAAACTACTGTATTGTTATTGTAGTGCGTATTTAATGTGGCGCTGCACTCCGATGTTGTAGGAGAAAACACGTATTAAAAAGGCGTTGGAAAGCTTAAATTTTGCATAAAATTCACTTGAAAATTTTCAACGTCGAACTAAAACTGCAGATGTTCAGAAGATTATATTGAAATTATATTAGAATTATAAAATAGTAGAACGAAGCAAAATGGAGAGTACAATTATAACAATCACATTCCACAGAATGAAAAATGTTCAAATGTATGCTTCTCCATTCTCCCATGGAGAAGCAAAATGCTCCATGGAATAAATAAAAGGTGACCTTAGTAAATTTAAATATAGCTAATAATGAAAATTAATCAAAACTAGTGTTGTTACAAATCTATATTTATTTAAAGTTGCGCATTTTGATGTGACCTCTCACCCCCCCCCCCCCTCGTCACAAATGTCCGACTCCCCCCCCCCCCGGTGCGTGACGTCATTTATGGACGGCCCCTTCATTCGGCAGGCAAAGTCACCATTCAGTGGTACCATCTGGTCCATGGTGCAGCACACGCCAAACGTGGCTTTTATCAACGTGCGGTGTTGCATTCCAAGCCACGCGCGGACAAAAAAAACCGCACAAATGAAGCCCGTCCCTTAACAAGGTTTAATGTGAAACGAGGCATGCCCTTTACAAAGCCGCGTTACCAATTAGACTTCAGTTCTGGAATAACGACCTGCAAAACTTCACCAAGGCAACCCATCCCAGCAGAAGGCAATGTTTGTTGTCAAAAATAAATAATTTAAAACTGGAAAACAAAATCAATATTCCCCCTCCATCATATTCTGGTCTCGTATGGCATTACCTACGTTTTTGTATACCAACTATCATTCGGAACCCATTAAAATAAATCGACACTTGAGGTTAACCATGCATTATCTTCTTTTCTTTTCTTTTTAAGTGCGCTAGAAAACAAATATTGGAAATGCACCATGAGAAAAGACCGAAGGGTCCCATTTCAAGTCTCTGCCGAGCGCCCTCTACGTAATAAACAGACGCGTGCATCTTGATGGTAAGAAGTCAAATGTGTTCATGAAAAATAAAAGTATTTTTTAAGCAGGGCTCGTCTAAACAAGGTCCACAAAGCCATTCCCAAACAGGTCAGTCTGTTTAGAAAAAAGGCATTTTTGGAATTACGTGTGTCCTGTGTAATAGACTGTCAGACAGGACAGGCAATGCGAAAGATTCAAGTAAAAAGAAAGATTAAATTTCACTGGCTTGAAAGGGTGAAAAATGCAGAGTTCAAACACGAGGGTTTGTATGCAGATTGCGTGTCCCAAGTCGTCAGAAATGTCGAATGTGGTATTTTTATTTGTTGACCCTTTGCATCTTAACTGTAAATAAACTATATTCTTTAGGTCTTTCCCAAATAATATAAATTCCTGCGGTCACGAAAGCTTTAAGTCAAGATCTAAATAAACTCCCTTACTCCGTCGTCCTCAGCGACAGTGGACGCACTTTCGACGAGTTGTTAAAACGATAGCCGGTGGTTAAGGGTTGACATGTGTAAAGGAACCTCCCCATCGCCCACCTTACCACTTACATCTACGAAGATTTCTTTCTTCAACGTGAGCACCGACATTCATTGGAAAGAAAAGTACATCTCGCAGTAAGAAACCCCAAACCAAAAAGATAATCCTCCGGTCCTAAACCGAGATGTTGCAGATTTGGCAATGGTAAACAAGCTAATTTATTACGACGACGATGATCATACGCGAACTGGACCACGGGCCGTGCACTCTGCGTTAAGCGTACAGGAATTTGCGAGCGCCGTTCTTGCAGTGGGGGCAGCGAAGAGAGTTCGTTCACGAAAATGCGCGAACAGCACCCGAGCACAAGGTATGGACAAATACTGCCGCGGGCACTTTAAAGGACGCGCGATATTAAAAACGTCTCCCCAGTGCATCATGCCACTCGGCATGCGCGCAGGCAGTCGCCGAGGCGCGAGCGGGCGCGCGGCAATAATCCTCTAACACAAAATGCAATTTAAAAAAATGAATTCCAGATCAGCGTGGGCGAGCACGTGGCGAGGGATGTGGATAGACTTGCAGGCTAACGGCCGAGTCGGTGCGCTGCTTTGTGTACTCGCGCGGCCTCGTCGTGCGCAGACAGCCCCCCTCCCTCATGCCTCCACGTTGGGCCTGCTCGTGCAGCGCCCGCGAGCGACAGCCACACTCCACAGCAGATGGGCGCCACGGGTGGACACCGCACGCATTCGCTGCGGGACTCGGGTTCCGTTTGCCGCGTGCGAGCATCTGCAATTACAAACACTACCCGCCCCCTCCACCCCATCTCCACCCCTCACCTCCCTGCACTGGCAAAATCAAATTCGCGTGCGTTTATCGCCAATTGATGCGACCTAATACTGATTTGTTTTTTCTAAACATCCAGTTAAAAAAAAAAACGGTTTGATAGAAAATCGGACAGCAAGCGCCGGTCATGCACTGCTAAGGGGAACACCCAAAAACACAGTCGAGAACCCAGGAGCGGCTAAAAGTAATTTTCAAAACATTTTTGGCAGTTCGAGTGAGGCGAGGACGTGCACAAGTCTGGAAGGGTGCGAGCGCCCCGAAGCTTCGTGACCTCTGCCGTGATCGAAACGTCAATCTTTGGGAGCCGCCGTAGTGTTTAATTTTTCGGCCTTCTCACAAACAGCACCACTCCACCAGCGTCGCACGCATTGGACCACGCCCAACATCCGGCGCTCTCCACCTGAACCCGTTCGACCCCGGGCTCGCGTCCGGCCAGTCTCGATGTACATCAATTCGTTAACTGCTTGGCAAATGTGAAATTGGCAGAGTTAAAGCACATTGAACACAGTAAGAGAGAGAGTACTCGGGGAGGACGGCATTATGAACAACACTATTTTACACCGTGTGTATATACACGTGGTTACATTTTACCCTATTCGCACGCAGTAAAAGGTAGCCATGTGCGTGTATGTACATGTATGGTACTGCATCCAATATGTGTACGCAGCACATATACATACACGTGCGTGTATATACACACAGCAAAAAAAAACAACAAAAACTCTACCCTGACAACTCTTGTAAAATCCCTAGGACTTGCCGGGGGGGGGGGTGGGGGGTGTGAGGGGGGGGGCTACGGCACTGGTCGCGCCGTTTCACGTGCGGCCAAAACCTTCCCCTACGACCCCCCCCCACACCCCCCTGCAGCACATTGAACTCTTGCATCCGGCAACAAGGCCCGGTAAAACCGCCGGGCCAATTGGGCCAGCCAGGGTCTTTGGGGTCGCGGCCGAAGAGGGGGGGGGGGCATATATGATGAGAGTGGGAGGGAGGGGGTAGGGTGGGGGGGACGATGGCGGCCAGGTCAGTGGGGTCGGCTGCTGGGCTCGGCAGCGATGCGCGCGACGGGGGAGCTGTAGCCATTGGAGTGGCCGTTGAGACGCTTCATCAGCCCTCCCATGAGGATGTCCTGGATGTGCTGCACGATGAGGTTGATGGCCACTGTTTGCGAGAGAACACGGGGCAGCAAATATGCGCGTCACTTTGGTCGCGCAAGACGGCACACACACGTTGATCAATCATCGTCGTTTGTCTCGTATACAAAGCAAGGGGGGGGGGGGTATGCAACAGCTTTGGAGGTTAATGTGAAGGGCAAGCCGCTCCTAAATGCCCCAGACTGTACATTTTAGGATAAACGCATTTCATCAGTTTGACTTTCGCGCAACTTTCACTTCTAACCGAGAGCAGACAGGATGAAGAGTGTCGCACCTGCAGGACTGCAGCAAATGAAAGCGTTTAAAGGCTACAAAAAACACTCCGTTGAAGGGACTCTCTCGCCTTGGGGACGCGGGGCCAGAACGCAGCAACCGCTTAAGTTTGACCTACGGTTAAAATTGCCGGATTCGTCGAGTCGGTCAATCCACGCGGGGGTCGATTTACACGAAGCGGCGAGTCCGACGGTCAAAGGCTCAAGGTTTAGGCGGTCGTCAAAGGAGATCAAGATCACATCCTCTCCCCTCCCTTAAAATTACATTAACATTAAGAGTAAATTTAAATTAACCATGTGTCTCTTCTGTATATGTTACTCCAACCTCTTCAGTATCGCAATCTAGTATTATTTTCCAAACCTCTCCCTGCCGTTTCAATGCAATGTGTATTTGTTGCACAGAAAATCCCATTTAGCCAGTTACCCAGCTAGCTTCGGTGGCGACGGCCCGCAGAAGCCACTCAAGTCAGCAGCCACCCAGGAAACTCGAGCCAAAGATCAGTTTTAGTAGTGTGGTGCGTTTCGATGTTGCATGCCATTTACTACACACGACTGTCCGTACACTTTCCTTTATAAATCGGTCAAGGCTCCTATGAAAGGGGCGAGGGAGGGGACATTTTTTTTTCCGGACCTACGTGTTTTGGTGTCGTGCGCATGTTTCGGCATGCTGCACACATGGGCTATAGGTACTGTAACAGCGTTTGCAAGCGCACAAATGAACGCACGCAACGTGTTCACGGCACCGCACTAGTTCGAGCTCGGCCGCGTGAAGGCACTGAACATTTCCAGGTGTTCATCTTCTTGGTTCTTTCGGTAAAGTCACGTAGACCTGTTCTTCACCTGAGGACGGCTGTTTGCGTTGTGGCCGAAACGCCGTGAGAATTATTTTATTATGTTTTATTTGTATTACTTTATTACTTCCCTTCTACGTGACTTTACCGAAAGAACCAAGAAGATGAATTCCTGCAGTCACGAAAGCTTTAAATCGAAATTTCCAGGTGGACAAGAAAAATCAGCGAGAAAAAAAAAACGCTGCGCATGGCGCCATTTACACGCATGGCGCCTGCATACGTGTGCGCACCTACACGTACACATTGCCCTTTTGGCTAAAGGTTGGGGGGGGGGGGAAACATTTACACGCTTCCAAAAGAGTAACCATGGCTCACGAGTCTGCTTCCCGCGCAAAACAAAAACAAACTTTGAAAAGGACTTCTTCAGTTGGTCACGCCTGTCTGCACTCAAGTCGGTTTTGCTAAATACTTTATTTCGAATGCAGATCGGGAAATGTGCGAGTCCATAACGAATCATTATTTATTTCTAAGCCAGACCTTGATTATAGTTGCAACTCTTGATATTCTTTGGTCTTCAGTTTACAACAGATGGCTCGTAAATACAAACTTCAGTTAGGAGCTGAAAGCTGAAGGCTCCTAACTGCACACAGCTCCTCGCTCCCCCTTCTCGTGCATCATCCAAAATCTCTTGCCAGTGCCCGCGAGCAAACGATTTTAAACAGATTGGCAAATGAACTGGTGGTTCTCTACGACCGTCAAATTGCACCATTCGGCCCTGCACAGACAGATTATCGTCGCACCGAACGTAAACAAAACGTTGGCTCGTGCCCCGACACACTACGATCGGGAGGAGTAGTAAAGGATGCTCCACCCGTGAGCGTGACGTGACATGCCTGCGCGCCGACCTAAAGAAGCAATCAAGATGGACATCCAGCAAAGACGTTTGCAGGCAGCTCTGGCACACACAAATTTAAGCTTTTAAAAAATGTTTGTGATGTATTTGTTCAGATTTACTTCTGGAGCTGTCTGGAACACGCTTCCTTCGATATTAGGAAGCCACTGGAGCCATGCACTTTTAAATAGATTGAAAAAATGTTTTTCGTGAGAACTACTTTGTGTTAGAAGGTGTGTTGCCCCCCCCCCCCCCCGCACCTGCGATTAGCACGGTTGGCTACGTACGGTGTGAAAGAAGTTCAACGTGCATTCAGGTCAATGAGTGCGAGCGCTTGAGAGCACGATACTGCATGTGTTCGATGTTTGTGACAACCGGCCCGCGATACGCCCACCAGAATGTGGGTGTGCACAGGTAAACGGTTGCTATTCAAGGGGCTATTGCCCATGTCAACTATTACATATACTTTTTTATTTTTAAGGCAGTGTTATTGACGCATATTAATTTCTGATCAAGGTGCGGCAATGACGATTGAAACGTAAACATACATTGGCTGCACACACTGTGCGCTAATTGAAGACAAGAGTTCAAAGTACGCGAACAGCTATACACAGAGTGAGCTAAGCACTCATGGACGCACCCCACGCCTCCGGCACGAGTGAACACATCTCTCGTGCGGTCTGGGCGTCGCTCGCAAAATGCAAAGACGCAGTCCGCCTCGGGAAATCGGACACGACGCCTTCCCTGCATAGCTTCTATAACACCATCGTGTTCGGCGTGTCATTTGCAATTCTGACGATCGCTGCAACTAGCAAGAAGCTGGGTTAAAGGCAGAAATATCTTCAATATAAAGACAAAAATCCCCTGTTTCGCCTTAACAGACTGTTGGGGCAAGTGCTGTTAGCGAGCACCTATGAAGGCCGGCACGGCACTCGTGGGGGTGGGTGGCCAGCACAAAGCCCGGCCGCCTTCGTCTCCCCAGTGGTGATGTTTTTACACCGCACCAGGTACTCATTTGAGGCCGAGTCAACCTAGGGGAGGCCCAGGACCAGTATTGGCCACGAGTGGGAATCTAACTTGGGTTGCTGGGTTTGTAACGCGGTGCGCCAACCACTACACTACTGCTCCCCATATAGATTACACACACACACACACACCAACTGTAATGGAGACATGATCGTGTGCAAGAGGTAGTTGTTGCACTAAATTAGTGGACTGCCGGTAAAACAATTCACACATTTATTTCCCAAGTAAATGGATGAACAGACATTTGTCCATTTCACGACACATTATTAATATACATTTAGTTACCGGAGCCTAATTGGCCTAAATGCTGCTGGTGGCATGCCTGGCATACTGAAATTGATTCAAAGGTTTGCTCCGTAAATCCTGAAAGGCCAATAGGCTGCAAGATATGAACAGAATTTCATTGTATTCTATAACAGCGGAACATACCTTCGTCTGTTTATTGCGCATTAACCACAAATCCACCAAGGCAGAGTACGCCGATTGTTATACAATTTTGTGGCGTATTGCGATGATTGGGCCCTGAAGGTGATGATGGGAGATCTATTGGCAAGGCAACCGAGTGGTATGTTTACCAGGCCACGATTCTGCCGACTCCTGCCTGCCAAGTCTGTTGTCTGTTGTCACTGGGCCGGCCAAGTGGACCAACAGTAGAGTGTAGGTAAAAAATTAAAATAAATTAATCACGACATTTTGGGCGCAACACAAGCATCCTTCTTCAGGTGGGGACAACTTAGCGAAAGCACAACCACTTAAGCGGTGTGCTTTCGCTACCTACGTAACTTTACCGAAGTCACGAAAACTTCAAATCTAGAAACAGTAGAGTGGGGGCTTGCAATCAGACATTGAAATGTTCAAAATCCTGGTTGGGTGTCGACTCGGCCCCATAATCCCCATCAGGGCCAATAAAACCATCATCACTTTGCGGGAAGTCAACAGCGGTCATCCTGTGTACAAACTCGTCCCCACCATAGGAATGTGGAATTTCCGAAACTGGCTCAGAGCCGCGGAAAATCACCTTGACTTCTTGTGTCCTGTGATCGAGGTACGAGTGAGCAGTGCGTGCGTTGCAGACGTAAAGCAAAGAGGACGCGGCTTACCCATGTTCTCGGCTCCTCTAGGAATGATGACATCTGCGTACTTCTTTGTCTGATCGAAGAAACACAAACTCAGTGTTGCACATTATCGGCAACCCTGTGTATTTAAAAAAACAAACAAGAAAAGTTATACACATCGGCTTTCGCGACCAGTATTATTCATATAGGTTTTTGGATTGGATCGCGTTATTATAAATGTGTCACAACCCTCCACCACCCGACACGGCCAATCAGTAAAACATGTCCCGTTAACAAAATGCCAATTAGTTACTTTGACAGCCCACCGGTGTGTTTGAAGAGTGAATCCACAACATTTAGAATTTGAGTAGTACGACGTTTCGCTGGAAATTATATCCAGCATCTTTGGGCGATTTGCCAGAATAGTGATAGCTACAGACTTAGCGCAGCCTGGAATCGTATTATTAAGTAATACACAATACATATTACAATTCCTTATAGAGGAATCGCATACCAATTAACTTATTACTAATCTATTATATAATTACAATACCCCCCCCACCTCCGCCTCTGATATCGAAACCTGATGGAGTTCAACAATGATGACATCCTGCACTATTTAAGACCTTAAGCAGGTGAATGGCTTCGCCCAAAGATGCTGGATGTAATTTCCAGCGAAACGTCGTACTATTCAAATTCAAAACGTTGTGGATTCACTCTTCAAAACACACTGATGGGCTGAAAAAGTAACCAATTGGCATTTTGTTAACGTGACATATCTTACTGATTGGCCGTGTCGAGTGGTGGGAGGGTTGCGACACATTTATAATAACGCGATCCAACCCAAAAACTTTTATTATGAAGAAAAATGATGAGTGGATCATTTGGTGACGCTTTCAAACACACTTTTATGCTCGTGACTATTTTTTTAGTTAAACGCATATTACCAGCTTTGACATATGGATAAGAAAACGTGGACATCAATGAAAAAAAATAAAAGTATGCACGGCACGGAAAGCATTTAAAATACTCACGATTGTATGCGAGCACGTTTCGCATCTCTGTGCACCCAGATTCGTTAAAATATTTCTACTAAAACCGTGTTGACATGAAACCCAACACCGGCATTCTGACACTGTAATCATTGCCAGCAGATAAGCCAAATACAGTATCGCATTCCATGGGGGGGGGGGGGGGGGGTGGTGGAAGCCGTCCCATCACGTAACAATCTACCACCACCATAACCATTTCATCGGCAGTCACGATTCAGCGTCACGACATAATAAATAATAATAACTTCAGGGTTGTTTGCTGCATTACTCGTTGTTGTGTCACTTGTACGATCCCATTCGCTCCCTCAGGATGGAACTGAATTTCTGCGCTTCATTTTGCCCGAATCGCAAGCAATCGCCTCTTAAATAAAAACGAATAAATGCACGTATCCCTGAACGTAAGAATTCATCTTAACCATTGAATGCTCCCTGTGTGGGTATCACATATAGCCGCTATCGTGCACACGTTGCATCCGTGGGAGTTCTGCTCGGGACGTCCCAAAGGGGTGCTGCTGGCGGGGGGTGGACCTCACACAAGAGAGAGGGTCCCACAAGAGGCAGGCCTGGTTTTTGTCGCCAATGAATAAGGGGGCCGCACGCGGCATTCCACACGGGATTTCCAGGTAGGTCCAGGGTCCAGATGCATGGTCCTGTTAACCCCTTCCCGAGGCTTCTGCAAGTTGCAGGCTGGGTCCGTTCACCGCCGCATCTCGGAACGCGCCAAGCGGTGAGCGTTGATTTTATTTTAGAGGCGTAGCACCATTTTAATTAAAGACATTGTATTCGCCGCAGAGAACTGTAGCGACACGACCGCACGATGAAAACTGGCGATAAACTGTGCCACACGCTCTCCCACACGGCACCAAACTGTTGACGTACATGTACATTAGCCGAATGGGAAAAGGTCAACTGCTGCTGCAACAATTTCTCCACGACGAGGATGCGTACCGGCAGGCAGAACTCCTCGAAGGCCGGCTTGACGAACTTGGTGTACTGAGACAGCACTTGCTCCAGATCTCTGCCTCGCTCAGAAATGTCGCGCAGCACTGCAATGCGAAGAAAGACCACGCGGTCGACCCCACCATGAACCCTTGACCAAGTCACCACAGTCCTGGCTTCTACGCCTCTGAAACGATGGCATTTTCTCCAAAACCACGCTGTGAATATTTAACAAACTCTCACAAGTCAGCGTTAAAATGGCCACTCGCATAAACCACCATGGCTCTGGAAAGCCTCTTATTATAACATTTAATTTAATCAGCATTTAAAAACACACGCATTGAAGATAAATGGGTTAGGGAAGTAGGGGGCAGAAGAAACGTGCGAGGAGCACGGCAACGTCAAGTGTTACTTGACGGGCACCGATTGAGCAGGGTCAAATGACAGCTACGAAAGCAAAGGGGCTCCAGGTGCCATTTAGCCCATGAGCCAAGGGGGATTTGGTCGGTGCCACCTGGGGGTGGAAAAATTGCTGCCAGAATCCATCAAGGGCAGTGTCGACCATGTTCGGTGAGTTTTTACAGATGGTTCACGTTCTTATTTCGTATTACATGCACGTTTCATAAAATCGCAATTGTATGTTTTCTCCCTTCCACGAAATGTTCTATCAAACATACTACGATACCATTTTAAAATGACGTTTCGCATACACATCTACCACGAAGGTCTTGCCATCATAAATATATGTGACGGCGATAATACGCTACGAAAAAAATCGTTGGGATTTTTCCACTTTAGATGGTACCGACAGCAATTTTTTAGGCAAACGGCTCAAGGACCATTTAGAAACTTGGACCAGATTTTCACGCACTGTTCAGCCTCTAATTGGTCGAGGCCGCATGCGGCGCACGGAGAAGGAACAAGTGAGAGACCGAGGGCGCGCGCGGTTTGCGTGGAGTCGCACCTCTCCGGGAGAGCCTCGTGTCGGCATCCATGTCCACAAAGAGCTTCATGTGGAACATGTCCCGGATCTCTTGTAGGTAGAAGACAAGGATGCCCTCAAAGAGCACCACGTCGGCCGGGTACACCATCAACTCGGCCGTCCTGCACGCCACCGCACGCCACCGCACACCACCACCACCGCCGCCACCGTCGTCGTCACCCTCCCACTACGGCCAAGCCCCATGCCTCACCACGCTATTACCACCATTACCAACACCACCACCATCACCACAGCTTCTGAGTGCAACCACCCTCCAACTACGACCACGCCCCATGCCTCACTTCGCTATTACCACCACCATCACCTTTGACTTCTGAGCGAGGGGGGCCTCAGACAAAGTGATGGCTCGAAAACTTTTTTCCAGCTTTCCATGTTTTCCCACAGAAGAGAAGTTTGGGCCGGCAGGCCTTATGTATCCGATCGAATAATTCGTTTGTCATCAGCGATGATCAAGCTACTGCCGGATGAAAGCTTCCACAAATAGTTGTTGATATCCTTCAGAATGACAGTTACATTTTTATGCCATTGGCATGATTATGTTGTAAAGATATTTTCAGTTGGAACTCATACAGTGAGCAGTGTACCACCTTGTGGGAGACCGGCTCCAGAAAGTCCCTTTTTGTGGGTCTCTTATCGACACTAGGTGGCACGTGCATGTACTGTAAAGCATTTTCATCGCATGGTAATCAAACAACAAAAAAGTCCTCAGCGCAGGAACGGGTCAAATTAAGTGAAATATTTAACTTTCCTAGTGGTTGTTTAGTTCACTGATGATTGAGCCAAGGACAAACTCTCTACCCTTGAATACATAAGGGTAACCAGAGCCACGCAGCAACCACCCCGTTTCAACTCCTGGTCACGGAAAGCTGGAATAATAGGGCACGAAAACAGAGTTGCCACTTGCTCTACGCTTGTGGAAACTTCTCCATTACTTATCGATAAAAAAAAAATTCACTCAAGGACCACATTACGAAGGCAGGCAAGAAAGGCAAAAATAAATCAATTACATGATCCATTAGTAGGTGATACGAGCCAGGTAATAAAGAGATGCAAAGCATGAGACAGGAAGAGTTTATCTTTGATGAATCCACTGCCCTGGAAGCACTAGACCACGTGGTGCTTAATTGAAAGGCGAGGCCAGGGCTTAATTTCTCACTGACTGTTTTCCGGGTCACTGGTAGATGTTAGTCAGAGCCATAGCGAGATGTCCGAATGACACGGTGGTCTAGGCGTGGAAGTATTTCTCCACGTCGCAGGAACGGACAAACCTCAGCTGAAATTAAGCCCTAGAGGGTGACCCTTACATTGAAGCAACCCCCGAATAGTGATGCGATGACGGAACTGCGATACTGTCCACCCCCACCCCCTCCCACCAGTCCCTTAGAGCACTGAGAGCATCTGTAACAAAGCGAGAGAAGACGTGTCTGTTGGTGCAAGCTCACGCACACCTAATGTGCGCGTATCGGCACAAGGTGTTCAGGACTTTGGGAGTGTTGTAAAACTCCACCTGGCATGGCTGTGCATACTTTCTGCTCATGGCCTATAATTTTTTTCAGACATCGTCAGAGCCATTGAGAATTGATGGTGGCAGAGTTAAAATAAATATATAATTGGGATTGCCAAACCAGTCGATAAACTTATGGGCTAGTTACACTCATCGCTTAAAACTGCCCCCAATCATTCGGTCAACCGCAATTAAGTTACCGTGGTCAAAACCCCAAATGAACTTCACCCACGGTAGAACCACCCAAACCCCTCCCCCCTGACCAGTGCGCGTGCACACCTGGGCCAAAAATCAAACACGCCTGGACATGGCGGAGACCAGCAACCAAATGGCCAATCGATTCACCCGGGCATCAGTCGCTACTGCACGGCTCTGCTGTAACAGGGGAAGGCTCTGGTTTCTTACTGAAGTCAAGCGTATTCAAATCGGTTCTCAATGCTCAACGTGTCAAGACGCATATGGAAGAGGGGGAGGCGGTGGTAGGAGTTGGTTTACGCACCGGGCTCTCCTAGACGAGCCAGAGCTGCGGAAAAAGGGGGGGGGGGGGGGGGGGGGGAGGGTACCCTTAATATCTCCGCGTAGCGGGGTCCGGCGGCGATTGTGCGGAGCGAGCGTGGCGGCTTGTGATACGGGGCGCGGCTAAACGTGGCCGGTGTTATCTTGCGGCTTTCCTGCCAAAAGCAGCCCTGCAAATGGCGCTTCCTGGTGGCAAGCTACAAATATAAACAAAGTCCTGCATGCACTGCTCACACCACCAACTTTCCTACAATCAAGCAGGTCAACGCACCCAAGCTGCACGGCATGAGACGCAAGAATTGCTTCCCCCTAAATCTGAGGTTAAAAAAAATCTCAAGAGTAGGGGGATGGAAGTCCAGAGGGCTCTTAAATCCATTCGCCTCGTTTCCCCTCCCAGGGAATTAACCTTGAACCCATAAATGTGCGTCTCTCTCCGTGGTGTGCGTTCTTCATTTTTTGTGTAACTGCGCGAGAAAAACCCAGTGCCCCTCTCCGTGACGCGGTGGAGGAGGGGGAAAAAAAAAAAAACAAAGAGACGCCGATGACGGTCGCGGACAGGCACCCGCGAGTTCGGGCAGCACAAAGGCCGGACGGACGGGGTTTAGCGCTTCCTGCTGAACCAGGGCCAACTTGACAGGTAGGAACACGCCCAGCCCACACCCGCACACCCACCCAGTCGCCGGCACACCTCGGCCCAAGGCTGGACAATGCCATCCCAACCGGATGCATGGAATGGAGATGGAGGGGGGGGGGGTGCGATGGGGCTCGACACGTCGCGCCACAATCAATGAAGCACACACACACGCAGACGGAGAGAGAGAGAGAGAAAGAGACCTTGCTATCGATCGACGAACTCGCCCGCTGCTGTGGAAGGCTGGGGGAATTCCATTTGGTCACGTGATCCCGTGGCCGCATTGAGTTAAAGGATGCAGATGCGAGGACTTGTTGTTGTGTGGAACCCAGCCTGCGATAGCTTTTTTAAAATACATATATTATGGGATTCAGTTGTGACAAGAAAGGGCCTCTATAACACGTGCCAGGTTATAACTGCCAATTGTAACTGCCGAGTGTTATTTTGAGCACCTTATTCTGAGACTTACAATCGTGAATTAGCAATCCAATTGTCTGCGACGTGTAAAACGGAGCAAGCACAGGAATTGATATCCTGCTCATTAACAACGGCACTAAACCACCACAATGGGAGACTTTAAAACGCCACGATTTTAACAAGTGTTGGCCTGCTGTCATGGGCATCCGCAACGAAACAGGAGAGAGGGAGGGGGAATTGCAATCGAGACAAAGGTTGTTTAAATCAATGGCGAAGTAACAAAGGGCTTAAATGGTAGTGGATCGTTGGAGTGGTTTCAACCTGACAAAAAAAGGGGGGGGGGGGGGGGTGAGGCACAGCTGCTGCAGCCCGTGTCCCGGAGTCGAAATCAACAGGAGCAGGTGAGGATCGACAACCGCTAACCAGAGGACGACGAAGCAAATTCCCACCCTTCCACACCTGGAGCTCGTGACGAAGTCATAGACGGGCACTTGGGCCGCACGCCCAGCCACCAGGTCCTGCAGCGTCCTCATGATGAGCTCGTTGTCGAAGGCCTCTGAACGTCGGCACAGGCGGGAGGGGGAGGGGGGGTGGGAGGGGCACTTGGTGACAGATCCTTAAACACTTCACTTTGTATTCTTGATTCTTTCGGTAAAGTTACGTATGTAAAAAATGAAATTAAAATTAATAAAAAAGAAAATAATAAAATCACGACGTTTTGGAGGCAACACAAGTCTCCGTCATCGGTCCCACCTGATGACGGAGACTTGTGTTGCCTCCGAAACGGCGTGATTTTATTATTTTATTTTTATTAATTTTAATTTCATTTTTTACCTACGTGACTTTACCAAAAGAACTAAGAGTATGAATCCTTGCAGGCACGAAAGCTTCAAATCTAGAATTAATACAAATATAAAACAATACAAATTCTCACGACACTGCGACTGCAACACAAGCAATCATCATCAGGTGTGAAATCCACAGCAAGAACATTTTTGAAAAAAGTGGCGGTTTGTCCTAACGTCAGCACCACAGACAGCGATTTTTTTCAAATTTTCTTGCTGTGAATTTCACACCTGATGGTGATTGCTTGTGTTGCAGTCGAAACGCCGTGAGAATTTTTATTGTTTTATATTTATATTATTTCCCTTCTACATAACTTTACCGAAAGAACCAAGAATATGAATCCCTGCAGTCAAGAAAGCTTTAAATCAAAACTTCACTTTGTGTTTAGTTTTATTGTCCTTCCCACGCACCTTTGATTCGCACGGTTTGTTCAACATGCACACGTAATTGTGGCCACCGCGTGGCAGGCCATTATAATCTGGACTGTCGCGACACCAAATGCACCAGAAACATGGGGCAAGAAATGTGCGTGGTTGTGGTTTGCGTGGCTCGTTACTTAAAAAAAAAACACGGCCATAACCAAAAATGTATTAATAATAAGGTTGAGTTCTATACAGTGTCGTTCATGCAAGTTGCATCTCAGAATCGCTGAAGAACCACGGACAAGCTTGGAAGGCCTCCAGGTGGTGAGCTGGCGATAAACAATTACCCAAGCTAAATTTCGATTTAAAGCTTTCGTGACTGCAGGGATTCATCTTCTTGGTTCTTTCGGTAAAATCACGTAGAAGGGAAATAATAAAATAATAAAAATAAAACATAATAAAATAATTCTCACGACGTTTCGGCAGGTCTGTCAGACCTGTTCTTCCTGTTCTTCCTGTTCTTCACCTGAGGACGGCTGCTTGCGTTGTGGCCAAAACGTCGTGAGAATAATTGTATTATGTTTAATTTTCATTATTTTATTATTTCTGTGGTTGACTTTACCGAAAGAACCAAGAAGAATTGCTCAAGCTTTGCACTCTTCTATTTCAAGTTATTTTCAGCCAATGATTCAGTGTTTATGCATGTGGGAAGAAACCAGAGCACCCAGAGAAAGCCCACACATGCGAGGCGGGAACACCGTCTCAAACGGAAGGGACGAGCGATACGAGGCCACACTTTGCTGGACCACATTCTCTAGGCGAGCCGGCGAATGGCACCTCAAAACCCACGGGGGAAAGGAGTTTCACAGCATCCGTGCGATCCACCAGACCCTCACTACCCTCCAGTGCTGATCTGACAATGTCCAAGAGCAGGAAGACTGACGTACATTATCAGATCTGTTTAACACGTAGGCTTTCGCGACCAATATTATTCATAATCAACGTTTTTGGGTTTAGATCGCGTTATTTATAAATGTGTCGTAACCCTCCACCACCCGACACGGCCAATCAGTAAAAAAGTGTCACGGGCAATTCTGGCGAATTGCCCGATGATGCTGAATGCAATTACCAGCAAAACGGCGTACTCAAATTGTAAATGTTGTGGTTTCACGCTTCAACACACCGGTGGGCTAAAGCAGTGAACTATTTGTCTTTTGTCAACGTGACACTTTTTTACTGATTGGCCGTGTCGGGTGGTGGAGGGTTACGACACATTTATAAATAACGCGATCTAAACCCAAAAAGTTGATTATGAATTATCAGATCTCTTTCCACCGCGGTACCCTAATACACCGAAAAAAGTATGTGTGTGCATAACCACTGCAACGAAGATTTCTGAAGGTTTCATATCAAGAGTTTGGTCAGGTGGCTTAGCGTAAGAGGGAGCTTCTCGCGGTCGGAGCAGCTGCAAATTCAAATCCTAGTTCAGGGTCATTTAACGCGACCCACTTCGCCAGGATATCAACGGTGGTTGTCCTATGGATGAACTCCCTCCTGCCATAGCATCGTGGAATGTCTCACACTGGCTCAGGGATTTAAATACGATTAGCACTACTTTTTATGCTCATATGAGCAGGCAATCACCGACTTGTTTAAACCGGGGAAATTCTAAAATGAGACTTAAAACTTTGAAAAAGGTTTTTGCGTCGGATGTTTTTGCTCAATTCTGTTTGACGTATGCATTTTTTTTGTTCAATACACCTTGGCCTCATCAGTGATTATACACTGAAGCATCTAGTAATGATATCATATTAAAAACAAACACATTGAAAACATAACGCATTCATCACAAGCTGTAACCTCAGCATTGCTCTCTGACTTTGATGGCTTTATATGTACGAGTGTTAAAGAAATGCCAGCTGGGTGTGGCCCAGCTACCTTTTTTCCTAAACACTTCAAATGTCAAGGTACAGTCCCCCCCGGCACAGCTGCGTACACAGTCGCAGCGCAGCTATGCGAGGGGTTTCACAGGGAAGTATCATCGTTTTCGACAGAAGACATGGGATTAGACGCAATAACCGTTTCTTGAGAACAACCACAGAAATCAACCATCCAGAGCTGCAATCTCACTCCGGAGGCCACAAAACAAGAATCTATTTTAGTTTGCGTTGAGGGAAACATTGAGTTCCCTTACTTCTTCTTTTAAAGGGCGAAAAAAAAAGCATTTTAACATATTTCATTGCCAGTATCGTCACCAAAAATCTGTAGGATTGGACGTGGGTATTTTTTGTCTTTAGTTTGCCGTCCTTCCCCACACCTCCGCTTAGCGCGGTTGGCTACGTACGGTGTGAAAGACGTTCAACATCCACATGCATAAAAGGTTTTCGTGAAAACATGTGGTCTCCTCCGATGAATAAATAGACGGATAGGAGGGTATAAAATGTTCCAAACATTGGAACAAGTCAATCGTGCTTACCAGAGGCTTCCCCCACTCGATGCACCCGCCCTTACAAGTAATCTCTCCAATTCTAGATTTGAAGCTTTCGTGACTGCAAGGATTCATACTCTTAGTTCTTTCGGTAAAGTCACGTCAAATCTGGCTGTGACGGTCCCACCTGATGACGGAGACTTGTGTTGCCTCCGAAACGTCGTGAATTGTATTGTTTTATTTTTATTAATTTTAATTTCATTTTTTACCTACGTGACTTTACCAAAAAAACTAAGAGTATCATCTCTCCAATTCAGACTACGCGAATAAAAAAAAAAAATCGCAGAACCTTGTGTTCGTTCCCTCACGACACAACACGTTATTACGTTAGTTAGAATAAAACTCAATGCTAAGCACTTACTAAATATACATTTCTACACGTAGGATGCCTTGTTCATAGTCAAGTGGATTAAAATGCAGAGTTATCTTCGTGATTGTTTCTCTTTTACATTACTACAGGATCTAGCGCCGTGGTCCAAATAAAGCAAGCGGCATTGTTTAAGAATTCTACGCAAACATTGCCCACGTGGCTTATGTATTTAAGCTCGAAAATCCGCACAGACATCCGCAAAAGGCAGCAGTGTTTTAGACAGATCATTATTATCGCAGAACGGCAGCGCCGCATTGCTTCTCTACTGCCCAAAATATGGGTTCAACACGAAGACTAGTGAATGAACGGCAACCCACTTTCTCCAACGCCTAGTCATGAGTACAGATGGAAATTCCATGATCGTTAATTGCACAGAGTGGGGGGGGGGGCTGCATTAACCATTCGCAGTCTTAGTTAGAAAGTGTGAACATGACACTCCAAAATTGGTTCCTTTCACTCTTCAGAATCATCATAATCAGCACACGATTCATCCACTGCTGGATTAAGGCCTCCCCCCCCATTAGACACCGTCATTTCTCACAATCGCGTGATGCAACGATGCGCGCTCAGCATCGGCGTACACGCGGACTTCATCTTCTCGGCTGACATCCTCTCAGTCACGTGCCCTCTGTTGGCTGCGACTGGAGTTATTTTCACCCCCCACCCTTCCAGCGATTCGTCCTTCCCGAATCCCCACTCGTTTTGACGACCAGTGCAAAATGAAGTATTTCAGCTGCGTATGCGCTCTAATTCGATGTATTCTGGCGTAGTGGTACAAGGAAATTGGCCACTAAAGAAGCAAAAATGTACTTTAAAAAAAATATCGTTTTACAGAAAAAATAACTGCACATCTGGCCACAAATCATCATGCATTACAATCGTTGCGATTTTCAGCCACTGCATTCCTGGGTCCGCCCATTCGTTACGCGATAAATGGCGGAACTGGAACAGCTGCGTCCAAAGCATACAAAGATGTAGCAAAGCGCAGATGTTAGTTTCCTGAAATCGGTCAAACTTGGCAAACCGCAACTCACAAGCGGATACACAAAAAAAAGCATTCGAATGAACGTGCACCACACTTGGGAGCTGTGAACGTCGGACGTTCACTGGTTAGCATCACCCAAAAATTGTTGAACGTACTATGAAGGTCTTTATTTACACGTCACCCTTTGAGAGTCAAGTGAGTGCAAGTGTTATAAATAAACTGCGTGGAAATAATATCCTTATTGACTTTTCTGGCACGCCAAAGAATGTGGCGTGGAAAAAATGTTGTATGGAAACTCGATTCGATTTGGGCCATAAATTGCCATCCCCCTTTTTTCCCCGACCAGCGAAAACAGTTTTTTCATTGAATTTTCGGCGGCATATTCGTACGAGCATAAACTCAAAGATGTGGTTTACTTCAGCTTTTACACGAGTAAAGGTTCGATCAGTCATGGATTAAACATTAAACATGAAGCTTGACGTGCAGAAAATGAACAAGATGCCCCCCCCACCCCCCCCATCTTCAAATTCGAGTGCACTTTTCACAACATTGAGGCAGCGAACCATTCTTGGCAGCACAGCTGAAAATGCAGAAGTCTGAATTACCGCACTGCTGTTGGGCGTCCCAATGCCGCAATCCAGCTGCGAGGAGTTCCCCCCGATTTATAGGATGACGATGATCGATTTCTTAATTTAAGCAGTTAAAACCCCCAATGAGATTTACTTTTTCTGCTCTTTCACAAAGAAAACTAGCAAACAGCCATCAACAGTGCAATTGACTTATTATTTTAATTGGGTACAAAATCACACAGGTAGGAAGAACAGTTCCACACTGCCCACCAGGGATTATTTGTCTGTCGTGCATGGCCCCGCCCCACCAGAGCCCTCCCATTGGCTCGGGGGCGCCGACCAATGGGAGCGGTGGGTTGGGGTTGGTAGAGGGGGGGGGGGTTAGTGGTGGGGGGGGGGGCACCGCCGCAACTCGGGCCAATGAGGAGACGGGCGATGTTTCATTCACGAAATGGAACTGGGGGAGGGTTGCTCCATTCATAAAATGGAAGCCTTGAAAAGAAAAAAGCGGATCTTTTTGCCTCGTGTTTCTTTCAACATTCCCAGCCGTAAGGTGATTCAGTTGGGGGTGGGAGGGGTGGGGCTGGTTGGAGAGGGGAGGGTGGGGAAGGGCTGGGTGGAGAGGGGCTGGGTGGGGAGGAGAGGGTGGAGAGGGAGGGGCTGGGTGGGGAGGGGCTGGGTGGGGGCTGGTCACCCCGTGGTGCCCTTATAAAACTCAACGTTTAACCTACACACTATACACGACACGATACACTTATACAGATAGGAACAACAGCTTCCACACTGCCCACCAGGGATTATGTGTCTGTCTGTCGTGCACGAATGCGCTGTCCAACCAAGTTCCTACCTGCCCACTCTGAAGGAACATGTTTAATTGGGCATATTAGGTTTACACACCTATGCAAAACACTTGTAATCTATGACACGATGTCTTTCATTTGAACTTACTTGTAAAGTGTGCTTTGGCAATCGATTTTTTTTCTCTCACTTTTCGCAACAAAGAATCCTTTTATAAACGCAATACGGGTGGGGGGAGTGCAAGTCTACGTACTGGAAAACAGCATACAGAAGTAGATTTCACAGATCTACTGCCGCGATCTCACTTGCTCTGCATGAGGGAGAGGGGCTTGCCACATGACCGTGAAACTGATACAGTCATACCTCGGTATACGACCGCTTTGGAATACGTCGAATTTGGTACACGTCGTGTTTTGACGAGAAAAAAATGTCTTGGGATACGACGTCTTGCTTGGGATACGACGCGCTTGCTAGAACTTGTATGGGTCTGGATGAGTCACCGCGTACCCGCCGCGTAGACCCCGTTCACGACCCCTCCCCTTCCTCACCACCATCCTCGTAGGCTATCAACTCCTCTCAGCAAGGTAAAGTGACGTAAAATTGTATTTTTATTTCAATTCATTTTGCATTTTAGTAATAAGCAGTGTCTAAATTATTTTATACAACCCAATTAATTAATAATATGCCATATAAAATATCATTTATTTTCCTCTGGAACGGATTCTTCCTTTCCCTTTATTTCTTATGGGAAAAATGCGTTTGGTATACGTCATTTTCGCTATAAGTCCTACCTTCTGGAACAATTAACGACGTATACCGAGGTACCACTGTATTTGAATTCTCAGAACTGGAATTTAGCCAAATGAAGCATGTGCCGAACTAAATCCAACGCGATTTTTTTGCGCCGTCATAAGTCACTGGGCTTTGACCGCTACACTTGATATGTTTTTTATATGACAGGCGGCTGCCTGGATTCCCAAACCAGAACCTCGGCACTATCAGCACGCCACTCGGGACCGATGAGCCACACGGCCACCTCCGTAAATTCTTCATGGCAGATGTCGGATGTCCGACTCCATGTACACATTCATTGACCACCCAAATCAGTCTGCCCTGACAGCTTTAGGCCATAAGACTGGTATAATATTGTATTTACACAGTGCCAACACAAACACCGCACACTTCACATCATACGAGAGCACAAGTGAGATTGTACAGCAGTGCCTTCCAAGGATTGCGTGCTTTCAGTGACAATCTATAAACACGAACGTTTCATTGCCAAAAAATACATTAAATCCATCGGCCAATTGGACTTTCCTGACCAATATTTTACAGCACCAATTTGTTTGAGGCAATAAAATATTTAATTGACCAAGTTTCAACTTCTACTAGGCTCATCAACAGTCCGTTGCTTGTTAAAACAAATGCTTGCGCGGTTGCCTGGTGTAACGATAGAGAGCCATCTTACAGCCAAGTCACTTTTAGCGCAGCAACACGGCGCCAAAAGTACAGACTCGGAAAATTGTGGTTCGTTAAGAAACAAGAGTCAAAGTTCCCGTGTCATCGCCAAATTCGAACATCACCATCCCATCACTCAGCTGGGGGGGTTCTGCCCCAAGCTTCTCGCATACAAGCGACGGGGCAGACACGGTTGGCCATGTACGGTGCGAAAGAAGTTCAACATACATACGAACGTACCAGGATGGTCGAAGTTGAACTGCCCTTTGGCAGCACGGGCGCTCTGCTCAGGAGAGAGCTCGCGGTAGAAGCTGTCTTGGCTGAGGATCACCACCTGCCTCTGTCTCTGGTCCACCTCGTGCTGTCCCAGCAACTCCATGATCTTGGCGCACACGGTCGACTGTGGCCCGCACGCACACACAAGCACGCACAAGCACGCACAAGCAAGTGCACAAGCACGCACAAAAGCCAAGTCAAGCACAGCGATGCTTTTCCTTCAATAGCAAACACAGAAGGAACCCTCACTCTTATGTTAGGGTCTGTAGAGAGAAGAATGTTAAAGCATTTGAACGAAATAAAAACCATCACAGCAGTTGCCCACTGCAGTGAGCATGGGAAGGTGCTTAAGCCGCAAGCCGGGCGATTGTGGAAATATTTTCACGGCGGGAGAGATTAAATCCACAGGGCAACCGCAGTTACCGAACTTCCCCCAGGAGGCTCCCAAGCAGATGTTAAAAATGAAGGCCAAGTGAAATTCTTGGCAGCACCGATCAATGATGATATGATGCCACGTACAGCCCTTTTTTCAAATCGACAACTGGATGAGGACCTCCTCACACTAGGATTCATTGGGGGTTCGACTTACATCACCATGTCGGTCAGTGTGAATTGGTGAAGGCTGGGAGCTCAGACATGGGACAATTAGAGTACATTACAATATATTTTGTTGTATTACCCTCAGCTGCTCACCACTTCGCCCATCTAAGCAATCTGCAGGCTCAAATAATGCTCGACTTTCGTGACCTAACAAGTTCGGACACATTTTTTATAATTCGGTCAAAGGTGAACTAAAATCGTCAAAAGAGCCTACTTTTAACAACAAAAAATAATCCTAAGGTCATGAAAAACCAGTATGAAAAAGTTAACATTTATTTTCATATGGGGGTCATGAAATGTGTGCTTGAAATAATACGGATGTTAACACAAGTGGCGTATGTACAGTGGAGTGTTGTGTACGCAAGTGTGCTTTTTTACAGTAACTGGGCGTCGCAAGAGAAATTAATAACGGTGAACTAATATCAGACGATGCATTTAAAGTAAAGTTTCTTTCATTTCATAACCTAATTCCAATTTAAACACTGTTAAAGTGGGTTAAGTGCTTCCTGTGTTTTAAAGGCCAACATTTATGGGCCAAGGAATCGCAAGATGAATTCCATTGCAATGGATCATCCTCATTGGATTCATCTTGATAGGTATTTGCAACATTTCAGATGGTTCAGGTGCTCAAATGCATTGCCACCATTGGCTCCCTATACCCACCAACACAAGATTAACAATCACTCTTCGATCACTATGATTGTAACCTGACAAACAAACTCCATCACATTATTCAAATCTGAACTAAAGGTCTTCTTATTCGTCTAGGCATACGTTGAAAGAGGTGAATGCGTGGAGAGGGCCCTACTAAGAGACGATATTTGGTGGGGTTTATGCACGTTTCAAAATGGATGCAGGCCAGAACTTCAAGCTTCACAGGAAGGGAGATGCGTTCCTCATTTTCGGATTAATCCCAAAAGTAAAAAAATATAACGCCACGCTGTTTCGTACGGATCTAAAATGGTGGCATCATACGAAACGAAAGCACTTTGTGCCTGGTCCACGACGAATCCCGTCACAATATTGATGGACGCACAAGGCCACCTTTTACTGGAATTGTTACAATATATATTTTCTCGCAACAAATTATTTTATTTTAAGCTTGAACTGTTCAATATTTCACATCAACCATTTCTAAGATCAATAATTAAAACTACTACATTTAGTGCACTGGCAATTATTTTAAGTCTGAAATTTTAACTTGAAAATGAACAAAAATTCAGAAATTTGATGGAGAAACCCCAAAAATACAACATCACAAACTCATCCCCTCCTTTAAAACACGTTCCTTCAGAGCGGGCAGGTAGGAACTTGGTTGGACAGCGCATTCGTGCACGACAGACAGACAAATAATCCCTGGTGGGCAGTGTGGAACTGTTGTTCCTACCTGTACTATATCTCTGTGCTAGCTCCCCTTCTATGGTAGATAGCAACATCTGGGCACTGTGGTGGCGAGATGTTAACTGCCTCGCCTGGTATAGAGGAGGTCGTGGGTTGAATCCCAACCCTGATGCCTGTATATTTATAGTTAGCAAGTTCTCCCCCTGGCCGTGTAAATTTTCTCCGGGTCCTCTGGTTTTTTCCTCCACCTTCAAAAACATGCGTTTAGAGTATTTGGCTATGATAACTTTCCACATGACAAGCCACTTCGTTGAGCTTTCATCTGTGACCAGGTCACTTCTGAAAAAGAGCCGTATAGCTCAGTGGGCCTTACCTGCTAAAACAGTTGAGTTTCTAATTTATATAAAAAGGTAAAGGTGCAGCCCTGCAAATCGATTGAACAATCAAGCTATTGGTGACCGACTTGTGCTAGGGGGCCATCAGAATCATTGCATATTATTGGTTCTTTCGGTAAAGTCTCGTAGAAGGGAAATAATAAAAAAACATTTTACAATAAAATTCTCATGACGTTACGATTACAACACAGGCAATCATCAGGTGTGATGATGATTGCTTGTGTTGCAATCGAAACGTTGTGAGAATTTTATTGTTTTATTATTTCCCTTCTACGCGACTTTACCGAAAGAACAAAGAATATGAATCCCTGCAGTCACAAAAGCTTTAAATCGAAAAGAATCACACTTACGAAGGTCTAATCTCACATGCAAAGGCCCACATTCAAACCAAGGATTTCAGCTCCCTGACATATCTGTGAGTCACCTAGGGGGGCCACCTCAGGAAGGTGGAAAATATAATTTTACTTTTCCAGGGCATAAAACTTGCAGAGGAAACTGTTGCGACGGCTCATTGCCTCTGGAGTAAAAACACACCACCGCGGTCACGTGCGCACATTTGGAGACCAGCGCCATGTGTGAACGTGCAGCTGCCTCGCCACAGAAGCAATTAAACGCCAGAGTCATCGACGGCCCACCGAATTTCCACATGTGTTTTCAGCAAACCTCTGAACCAGTTTCACCTTTTTATGATTCTTATCAGCAATGTGTGGCCTGATAAAACACGTGCTGCGGCTCTGCTGTCTAGTGTTATTTGCAAAGAAAAGCCCTCTCCCCCCCACCCTCCTCCACAAGCACCGTGGGTGCTGACGCTGTACAGGACAGCAAACAACGTGTGAAATATATATCATGCGTGATGCCTGGGCAGATGGCTCTTCTTGGGTGGCACCCCCCCCCGCGCGCCCCCGTTCTTCCACCCCTCCCTCCCCCCATTCGTTGGCGCCTGCACGGGCAGCACTGTGCCACGTGGCAACCTTTAGAGGGCGCAGTGGAGCGCGGTGCATGTCGGCCACGTGGCCCCGCGCGGCTGCTCGCACGCAAACGACACCTGCCAATCACTTGCTGGGATTTCCATTCAGTTTTATGTGGCCAAAATTATGTTTTAGTTTGGGTCGCAATTCATTTTTAATTGGAAATGGCAAGAGGATTAAAGAGCATCACACACACCCTAGCTTTAATATTGTGCCCATGCGTTTTTGCTTAAATCGGTGCTGCTGAAATGACTAAATATGTAACGGCAATAAGAATGAGATCGTGTCTTCCTAAAAAAAAATTGGGGATGATCCGTGGTATTACTAAACATGTACGGATATTTAAAAAAACACTTTTATTAGTCACAACCAGGATATCAAAATGTACACATCTATACTTTTAGGATGGAGATGAATGCGAAAATAAAATAAACATAAACTGGATTAATTCTACTTGCAGACAGTGCTTTTTGCTCACAGGAATGTGGAATTGCCACTATTGGCTCACCACGGCTGTAAACAGGAAATCAGCACCCCCTCGATTCCCATAGCGGCGAAATGTTATCTCCGTGGATTCAATCCTGACCCTTGACGCCTGCAGACGCGTAGTTTGCATGCTGTCCTGGTTGATAGTCGCGTGGATTTTTCTCCGGGTCCTCCAGTTTTTCCCTCCACATTTTTAAACGAGCGTTTAAAACATTTGGCTGCTATAAATGTCCGCATAAGCCACTTCGTTGAGCTATCATTTGTGACCAGGTCGTTTCTGAGAAAAATAACTAAATAGCTTACCTGGTAAAATTAAAAACAATGTTTTAGTTTACAGTCACGCACCTCCGATTAGCACGGTTGGCTACGTACGGTGCAAAATAAATAAAATACATGCATAGCAGCAAGCCACTTTTGTGAAAACGCTACGAAACCGATGCCACAAACACCAGCGAATGGTCGATGTCGAGGAACCTCGCTCCATTTTGGAAAAACGGAAGTGAAATTTTCCAGTGAAATATGGTAACTTTTATTTGTAAATGCCGAGCAACTTCCCCATCTTAATGTAAACTCAGTGAGTGCCGTTTCACCCCGATGCCTTTTGCATGAGGGATTGCATTCAATACATTTTAGGACCACGAGTGTTAACAATATGGTACCACTCCCTTACGATGAATGGCAAAACGAATGCCTTTTATACTGTTTAGAGTGCGTTTAGGTTAATGTGACATTCTGAATGAGCTCCAGGTGACGAATAATACCCACATTTTTTGTGGAGACACGAAGGTGAAAGTGACGCATTAACCACAAATACACCATCAAGTTGATTATGTTTAACCAGGTGAGAACTCAACCTAGACAAGGAGTCTGATTTGGTTTCGTAAAGTGGACGTTTCTCAACTTACACTAATGATTGGCCGAGTTGAACTTCTCAAACACCTTAATGTAAACATTGCTTCGGTATAACGATGCCTCCTCCAGGAAAAAGCCAAAGACTATTAAGTCAAATTCCCGCAGACCGTCACCAGATTCTAATAACGGCAGAGAGGACAATGTGAGGTCTGTCCCAGCGACTCATGAGGGACGTGGGACTCTCTCCTCCCCCCACACGACTCAGTCCACATTGTAAAATGAGAACAGAGGTCTGAAGCTCTGGTTGTGGAGGTCACTACACAATTCGCATTCAACCAAGAGGCACATTTGTCCTTAAGACTACAAAATACAGGTAATAGTTACGAGAAACTTAGTATCAGAATCTTTATTTAGCCTGGAGAAATCCGATGAGCTATTAAGCTATTTTTCACAAATGTCAAATGTCAACTGGCTTTCCATTGGAAGGCTTCATCCACTTTCTATTAACTGTCGTGGCTGTGTTAATCACCTTTGCCCCCCCCCCCCAAATGGATTAAATTGTTTTCTGGTTCATCTTCTTAGTTCTTTCAGTAAAGTCACGTAGAATTTTTTTTATAAAATAATAAAAACAAAACATAATAAAATCATTCTCACGACGTTTCGGCCACAACGCAAGTAGCCGTCTTCAGGTGAAGAACAGGTCTGTCAAGGAGACAGAATCTGAATGGAACGCCCCAGGCTTGAAGCGACTATTTATGTTGGGATGGAGAGGCGAAATGTTTTCTGGTTATGAGCGTTGATAGTTATACAATTACAAACCTTTCCTTTGTACGTAGTGCATTTCAATTCCATGCAGGATAGGCATCCCCATGCAGTTGCAGCCGTGGGGGTTGTTTGACCATATTTAACCACGCTGGTCAGTGCGGATTGAAGGATGGCGCCCAGGACCCGTTCAGATATCAATGCCCACCGATGTTATCCGTGACAGGGAATTGAACTTAAGCCGGGCAGAGGTTTGTAGAGCACGCAGTCCACCAGCTCCGCCACTGGTAGACGCAGAATAAATCGGCTCCCTAGCCCTACTAGAACACAATTATGAATTATCTCGGTCACAGTGACTGTGTGCGGGGCAGTAGGCGGGAGTTTCTCAATACGAGTGCATACGAGGATAAGGGAGAGTCACTCTGCCCACGGGGGTTGCAACGTGACACGGGTAATGGGGGAAAAAAAGCGGCACAATTGTAGGGGCGGAGCGATGTGACGGGCGAATTGAGAGATGACAATCATAATCACCACACTGAATGAAAATGGAAATAGTCTTTGATGTGTTATTCCACCTCCAAGCCCTCAACCCACGATCTCGGTCTACCAGACCCAGAGTGTCCAACCGCACCCGCTGGTCACAACACGGCTTCTTCCTCCGCACTGCTCGACTTTGGAATGCCCTTCCGTCGCCGCCTTCCTCGAGTGCTTAGACGTCCGTCAATTCAAACGGATCAACGCTCACCTTTTGTACATTTAACAGCGTTGTTTGGCACTGGCAGCTTGTGTCCAGTACAGTACGTCGCTAGGAGGCCTAGCATCTATAAAACGCCTGCTAAATCCGCCCAATGGCAACGTATCACAAGCACATTAAGCAAGGTTTGGCGCTGCCTGGCTTACTGGTTAGTGGTAATTAGTTAACAAGTCGTCACCAAGTTGCGAGCGGGGACACGAGGCGCGTGGATGTGGAGCGCTGGGGAACACGTGCTCGCGAAACGGCTTTAGAATTCGTAGACCACATGCGCTACACGAGCGCTCATTGGTCGAGCCGCTCCCGGTCGGAGTCGAGTCGACCAATCAGAGGGCGGCGTGCGCGCATCTCTTGTGGGAAATGTAAATGGGGTGACTCGAGGGGGTGTGTGGGGGGGGGATCTCGCACGTCAGCTAATTTCGCCGTCACGACACATGGCGCCTATGACCGTAGTAGTAGAATCCAATACTAGAAACAATATATTTTTTTAAAAAAATTGTTAAACGATCGTTGTACAACTGACAACCAATTTCGACGGATTAATTTATTTTTTTACATTCGATTATCAATAAAGGTCCAACTTTCCCCCCCGCTCGGCTGTGACCACCCCCCCCCCCCGCCGCCAACTCCGAGACAATGGGTGGTCAAGTGCAGTCCCCGCTACAACAAAAAAAAATTCCCTCCAAATTTTTTGTTGTTAATATATATAGAGAGAACAAAACTCCACGCGAGACCGGGTCCCACATACTTTTCCGCTGGCCGTGCCGCCGCTCACGCCGATGAGGAAGGGCCGCGGGTGGTGGTGGTGGTGGTGATGCTGCGAGGTGGAGGAGGAGGAGGCGGAGCTGCAGCTGCCGCTGGGGCTACCGAGAGGAGCGTCTCCCGCCATCACCTCCTCCATACTGGGGCGGCAGCGGGCGGGCCTCGCCTTTTATAGCGCGATGCCGAGCGCCGCCCCTAGAGCCGCGAGAGCCGCGGCGCTCGCGAGCCGCGGCTGTCGGGGGCTTCGTCGCAGCGAGCGCCGTCGCCATGTTGCGCGAGGAAGCCTCCGTTGGTTGCGTTGGTGGGTGGTGGCGGTTGACCCCTTGGGGTGGTGGTGGTGGCGGTTGACCCCTGGGGTGGTGGTGGTTGACCCCTGGATGGGTGGTGACGGTTGACCCCTGGGGTGGTTGGTGGTGGCGGTTGACCCCTGGGGTGGATGGTGGCAGTTGACCCCTGGGTTGGTTGGTGGTGGCGGTTGACCCCTGGGGTGGTGGTGGTGGTTGACCCCTGGGGTGGTGGCGGTTGACCCCTGGGGTGGACGTGTGTATGAAGGGGGGGGGTGTATGAAGGGGGGGGAGTGTATGGGGGGGGGGGTGCATGAGGGGAGGGGGGTGCATGAGGGGGGGGTGCATGAGGGGAGGGGTGCATGAGGGGGGGGGGTGCATGAGGGGGGGGGGTGCATGAGGGGGGGGTATGAAGGGGGGAGTGGCTATGGGGGGGGGGTGCATGAGTGGGGGGGGGGTGCATGAGTGGGGCGGGTGGCTATGAATGGGGGGGTGCATGAGGGGGGGGGTGTATGAGGGGGGGGGGTATGAGGGGGGTGCATGAGGAGTGGGGGGTGCATGAGGGGGGGGTGCATGAGGGGGGGGGTGCATGAGGGGGGGGGTGCATGAGGGGGGGTGCATGAGGGGGAGGGGGGTGCATGAGGGGGGGGGTGCATGAGGGGGGGGGTGCATGAAGGGGGGGTGCATGAGGGGGGGGGGTGCATGAGGGGGGGGGTGCATGAGGGGGGGGGTGCATGAGGGGGCGTGCATGAGGGGGGGGGGTGCATGAGGGGGGGGGTGCATGAGGGGGCGTGCATGAGGGGGGGGGGGTGCATGAGGGGGGGGTGCATGAGGGGGGGGGTGCATGAGGGGGGGGTGCATGAGGGGGGGGTGCATGAGGGGGGGGTGCATGAGGGGGGGGGTGCATGAGGGGGGGTGCATGAGGGGGGGGGTGCATGAGGGGGGGGTGCATGAGGGGGGGGGTGCATGAGGGGGGGGGGTGCATGAGGGGGGGGTGCATGAGGGGGGGGGTGCATGAGGGGGGGGGTGCATGAGAGGGGGGGGGGTGCATGAGGGGGGGGGGGTGCATGAGGGGGGGGTGCATGAGGGGGGGGTGCATGAGGGGGGGTGCATGAGGGGGGGGTGCATGAGGGGGGGGTGCATGAGGGGGGGTATGAAGGGGGGGGGTGGGTATGAAGAGGGGGGTGCATGAGGGGGGGGGTGCATGAGGGGGGGTGTATGAGTGGGAGGGGGTGGCTATGGAGGGGGGGTATGAGGGGGTGCATGAGGGGGGGGGTGCATGAGGGGGGGGGGGTGCATGAGGGGGGGGGGGTGCATGAGGGGGAGGGGTGGCTATGAATGGGGGGGGGGTGCATGAGGGGGGGGTGCATGAGGGGGGGGGTGCATGAGGGGGAGGGGTGGCTATGAATGGGGGGGGGTGCATGAGGGGGGGTGCATGAGGGGGGGGTGCATGAGGGGGAGGGGTGGCTATGGAGGGGGGGTGCATGAGGGGGGGGGGGTGGCTATGAATTGGGGGGGGGTGCATGAGGGGGGGGTGCATGAGGGGGGGGTGCATGAGGGGGGGTGCATGAGGGGGGGGTGCATGAGGGGGGGGTGCATGAGGGGGGGTATGAAGGGGGGGGGTGGGTATGAAGAGGGGGGTGCATGAGGGGGGGGGGTGCATGAGGGGGGGTGTATGAGTGGGAGGGGGTGGCTATGGAGGGGGGGTATGAGGGGGTGCATGAGGGGGGGGGTGCATGAGGGGGGGGGGTGCATGAGGGGGGGGGGGTGCATGAGGGGGAGGGGTGGCTATGAATGGGGGGGGGGTGCATGAGGGGGGGGTGCATGAGGGGGGGGGTGCATGAGGGGGAGGGGTGGCTATGAATGGGGGGGGGTGCATGAGGGGGGGTGCATGAGGGGGGGGTGCATGAGGGGGAGGGGTGGCTATGGAGGGGGGGTGCATGAGGGGGGGGGGTGGCTATGAATGGGGGGGGGGTGCATGAATGGGGGGGGGTGCATGAGGGGGGGGTGCATGAGGGGGGGGGGTGCATGAGGGGGGGGGTGGCTATGGAGGGGGGGTGCATGAGGGGGGGGGTTCTCGCGCCCCGTCCACTCAGGCGCGCAGTGTCCCCTTACCAAGATGGTCGCTCTGCGGCGTCAGCTTCGCTCTCGCACCGCGACTCGCGCTCGCACGAACTCGCGCGGAGACCCCGCGGGGCCCGGCGGGACCCGGCGTCGTAGTCGCCCCAAGATCTCTGCGACATCCTCGCACCGAATTTGGTTTTTTTTTTGCCGAGGCCAGCGATCTCTCGGCATTGACACGGCTGGGGGACGCTTCGACATCGCCGCCTCCTCCTCGTTATTGCCGCTAAATCGAGGAGGACAACAACGAGGGGACGACGGAGCAGGCGGGCATCGCGGACACCTTCCTCCGTGGCTTCATATTCACGGGACCGGCCACGATTTCCCCTTTTCCCCGTTCGCTGAGGGGTTGCGTGGGTGCCGGCCGAGGCGAGGCTCCATCTATTGCCTCTCGACCTCATCGTCGTTTAATTGACGACAAACAATAAGAAGAAGCGAAATCATGTCCACCATGTTCGCCGACACAATACTCATCGTCTTCATCTCGATCTGCACTGCCTTGCTGGCCGAAGGTGAGCGACGAGACGAACACAACAATTGCGTTTAGGCCCCTCCATCAATCACCTCCATCATCTCCACACTCAAATCTTCCTCGAGCTTTGATCGATCCACTGCTGGATGAGTCTCAGCTTGTGGTGTTTGTGGAGGTCAAGTTAGTCGGACTTTAACCTCGATGGTTCGTGTGGGGTGGGCAAAGAGACGAGGGTTGGGAAGATTCGAGCAACATGGACTCATCTTCTTGGTTCTTTCGGTAAAGTCACGTCGAAGGGAAGTTGTGTGTGAGATTATTATGTTTTATTTTTATTATTTTATTACTTCCCTTCTACGAAGACTTTACCGAAAGAACCAAGAAGATGGATCCCTGCAGTCACGAAAGCTTTAAATCGAAACATGGACTCACTTTGCAATGCCCTCCATGACTCTCTCGCATCACGTTCTTCGTCGCTAATTTATCAACTTATCTAACACAAGAGTTAGTTAATGCTGGTGGGTAGGGGGGGGGTATTGCTTCTATAGCGTCGTGGATTGTTTTGTGGCTTTTTGTTGTGGTTGTTGTTGTTGTGGTTGTTGTTGTGTGTGACATGGCGCTGACGTAACCTGATCTTCAACGAGACCGCCAGGCCCAGTTAGGCCTCGATCATAGAAAGAACGCTCGCTGTCTTCACTATCTTCTTGCTATCTTCGCTATCTTCTTTATCTTCACTGTCGATGTTTTAAAAGTCGGCACCCCCCCCCCCCCCCCCCCGTGCATGTGAGACGACGCGAGTCGTAAATGTTCGCGGCTTCCTTGAAGTAATAATTCGCGAGTATGAGAGGGCCTTGTTATAGTGTTGTGTCATGTTGGTGACCCCAGGGGTTATTGCTCTTTGCGAACGATACCACTGTATGCCTCGGCGATTTTTCGTGTGGATTCCACACCTGGTGTCAACAAAATAAACTCACGCTTAAAGAGTTCATTCTCATGGAGATAACCAGGTCAGACAGATTGGTGGTAAGAACATCAGTCTTAGATGCAGCTGTCAACATTAACCACCCCGTCACCCGGATCCCACGCCTGAACTAAGCTTCTAACAAAAGGTAACTTGTGAAATAATTATAGGTTTTACCCTTTATGACAACCCTTACCAGTTGGCTGTGTCGGGTGGTGGCGGGTTTTAATGACATTTACGCGATTTAACAACCCCAAAACTTATATTAAGGTGTTAAGATGTTCATAGAACCCAATAGAAACCTTTTGCAAGGAATCCTGTCTTCATTAACCACACGTACTTGTGGTGAACATACGAACAATCATGTTCTGATATTATATGGCATTGTCCTTTAAACTGATTGGCCTACACCAGAGACACAGCCTCATATACATTAACCCTAAACGCTAGCGCCTACTACCCAAACCATTACTCCTAACCCAAAATCCTCACCTTAAACTCAAACCTATAACCCTACATCCTAACCTCTAAACCTTAACCATAAAGGTTAACCCCCATAAATCCTAAACAATACCATAATCACAATAAAAACATTTTATGTGACAATTGTTTACTCAGGAAAGCCTGCCACCGAATCTTAAGACAATCCTAATTCTTAACTCTAACCCCTTAAACCTAAACCCTTTCAACCCTAAGTAATAGGTATTTACCCTTTCAACTGGTACAAAACTGACACCTTTATACAAGGCATCATGTTTGCAATAACCTCAACACAAGCAGTCAAAATGAAAACAAAAAGAAACAACTCTGATAATCTTCTTGGTTTTTTCGGTAAAGTCACGTAGAAGGGAAGTAATAAAATAATAAAAATAAAACATAATATAATATATAATAATGATAATGATATGCACTGTCCTTGAAGTTGATTGGTCCACACCCGAGACAGCTTTTCTTAGAGCCTAGTCTCCATTGGTGTTGGACCACATGACGCCAAAAGGCGTACAACTCAAAAACAGCGTACTATCAGAGTATTGAGAGCTCGGGGTAAGCATTTACACTGAGACCTCCTTTACCAGTGGCAAAATATAGTAATAGGTTTTTACCCTTTCAACTGGTACAAAACTGACACCTTTATACAAGGCATCATGTTTGCAATAACCACAACACAAGCAGTCAAAATGCAAACAAAAAGAAACAACTCTGATAATGATATGCACTGTCCATGAAGTTGATTGGTCCACACCCGAGACAACCCTACACGAAACCTTAAGAATTGGCGTTCCTTAATATGTTATGTCAACTGAAACTCAAGGAAGCTCTATTTGAACGAAAGTGTGAACTGCGATTGTACAAATGCGGATTACATTAGTGATTTCCAGACACTCGGGTTCATTTCCAGCATGTCAGCAGCGGCGATCGACAACTCCAGCTCATTATTACCTCGAATATTCTTGGCTTGAAATGCATTTACAGTCAGGGCCTTATATTTAGAGCTCCCCCATTGG